AGATAATTTGAATCTCTGTTGTTCTTCATACGATCTGAATTAGGTTTTGCAGGCCCTTTTATATTCGAATTTTTCTCCTAACGATCTGAAATTGGTTTTGCAGGCCCTTTTATTTTCGAATTTTTCTCTTAACATATTTCTTTTTGTAGCTGTTGTTTTCCTTTTTCTTTCTTGGGTGTTATTAACGTGATGGTTGCAGGATTCAGGAACCCCTCTATGAAAATGTTTCGTCAGTATGACTTGCCTCCTCAAGGAAAAAGATCGCATCAAAATGTATGTAATATCTACCTTTTGTAATTTGATGTAAATTTCATCTGCACAATTGATGCAAAATAGTGTAAATTCCATGAAAAAGCTATCTACTTTCATCTGGATATTTGATGTAAATTTTGTTGTCACTTTTATTTTATTTTGGCATCTAATTCTCAAATTGATCAAGTAACCTGAGTTTTTATTGTATGTTGTTGGATGAGTTCTAAAAAAAATATGGTATTTTTTGAAATCTCCAATGAATTATTATCTGTTGCCACCTTTATCTGTTTGAGTTTCTTCACAAGCTAGTTTTCCAGAAATATAGTTGACTGAAAAGAAATTTTCCGGTTGCTTTTTTGTAGTTTGACAGGTTCATTCCTAACAGATCTGCAATGGATTGGGACTATGCGCACTTTATGGTGACAGAAGGGTGCAAAGTGAAGCAGAATCCTGTGGCCAGGTCACCTTCAATCGAAGCATATCAAAAGCATCTTGTAGAGCTCTTCAACATGAACCGGAGGATCCTTTCTTTTAAAGACAAACCACCCACCCCTTTGCGCGGGTTTCCGTACGAGGATTCTCCTGTTTCTTATGAGGCCAGACCTACAAAACCTCTTCGCCACATTCCTCAGGTAGAAAGGAATCTTTTTTACTTATTCAATACTTAGTGAATTTTAAACTTCTTATTTATAGTTTTGATGATTGGTTCATTTTTGCAGACATCCCAGAGGACTTTAGATGCCCCAGATATTGTGGATGACTACTACTTGAACCTACTAGATTGGGGAAGCAGCAATGTTCTTTCTATTGCTCTTGGCAGTACTGTTTACCTGTGGGATGCTTCTCAGCGCAGAACATCTGAATTGGTCACAGTTGATGATGAATTTGGTCCTGTCACGAGTGTGAAATGGGCTCCCGATGGAAAGCATGTTGCTGTTGGATTGAATAATTCTGATGTCCAGCTTTGGGATTCCACGGCTAACAGATTGGTATGCTTCTTCATAAGCTCTTTTAGTTCGAGTCTTGTTTTCTTTTCTTTCATTGATTGAGTAATACTGAAATTTCGGTTTTCTATTGTTGTCTGATGCTTGGGCAGTTGCGAACTTTGAGAGGTGGCCACCAATCACGAGTGGGAGCCCTTGATTGGAACAAGCATATACTTACCACAGGTGGGATGGATGGTCTGATTATCAACAATGACGTCCGGATGAGATCACATATTGTAAAAACATACAGAGGACATAGTCATGAAGTGTGCGGCCTAAAATGGTCTGCCTCGGGCCGGCACTTGGCGAGCGGAGGAAATGATAACCTTCTCTATATATGGGACAGATCATCGACTACCTCCCCAACAACTCAATGGCTTCACAGATTTGAGGATCACAGGGCTGCAGTTAAGGCACTTGCCTGGTGTCCGTTTCAGGCAAACCTCTTGGCCTCCGGGGGAGGAGGAGGAGACCAGTGTATTAAGTTCTGGAATACCCAAACCGGTGCATGTGTGAGCTCAGTTCATACAGGGTCTCAGGTGTCCGCGCTGCTTTGGAACAAGAATGAGCGTGAGTTGCTTAGCTCCCATGGGTTTACTCGGAATCAGCTAACTCTCTGGAAATACCCATCAATGGTTAAGATGGCAGAGCTTAGGGGACATACATCTCGAGTTCTTTCCATGGCTCAGGTTTGACTGTCTTTCTTCTTCTTCTTGTTCTTTCAAATTTAATATCAAAAGATTGCTATTGCGGTGCGTGGTGAAATATACTCACTCACAGTCATATATTTGTTGTGCAGAGCCCAGATGGTTGTACTGTTGCATCTGCTGCAGGTGATGAAACACTAAGATTTTGGAATGTTTTTGGAAAGCCTGAAGTCAAGAAACAGGTTCCCAAGTCCAATCCTGAGCCGTTTGCTCATGTTAACCGAATCCGCTGATGCCCCATTCAATACATGCTTGATATAACCTCAGGTAAGGTATAAATCCCACCATTGCCTTCTCTAGCTCTAGCTTTTCCGAGTTTGTGCATTTGTTCACTACCCAAAATTGAAACTTGAATTTCAAGGGATTGGAATGCTTTGGGTGAATCTTTGATGAGGCCAATCAAATCACTCATTTCTAACAAAGCTTTTGCTCTTATCATTTCAGGTGGTGTATAGTATGCTCAGTTTTGCTTCGGATCACAACAGACACTGGTGGGGGCGGGCAGATTTTATATATATATATATATATATATATATATATATATATATATATATATATATATATATATATATATATATATATATATATAGTTCTTATAACCATAGAATTAGAGGTTGTAATTCGTTTAGACTCTGATTTAGGCAAATGGCATTGTATAGTATCTAAATCTGTATGGAGTATATATATGAGGGGCTTATTCTTACAATTAATTGAGTAATTTTTTTTACTTGCTGATGCTCACCAGGTTGGGCTGGGATGGGCTTATAAATTTCTCTGCATTTTTATTTAAAAAATTGGCAGGTTGATTCATTATTCCATTGGTTTATCTTTCCTGGGTTATAAGTTGGGTCTATTTCATGTTAAGCCCCATTCTACAGAAATAAAAGCAATACACGTAGTACCTATCTTGCATTAGCTAATGCCAATCGTTAAAATTATTGCTCTCTTTTTACTCAAATAAGATTCCTAAATCTCATCTTCATTATCATCCTCTACATTTATAAATCGGTAATGTTACTCAATTAAGTGGAATTAACCCTTTTTAAGGGGTAATATACAAATAAAGTATTGTTTAAATTAATATTGCAAGTTTAATACTCCGTAAAATACTTGGGAGAAAGACCAAAATAAGACTAAAACATTGAAAATGTACCAAAATAGGACTTCCATGTTTTTATTCCCGAAATAGGACTTACATTACTAAACATGGTCATATACATTACAAAAAAAGTATAGTAATTTGCACATGTACACTGCCACATTACCACAATGCAAAGTCACATTACCACAATGCAAAGTCCTATTCTGGGGAAAAAACATGAAAGTCTTATTTTGGTACTTTTCTCTATGTTTTAGTCCTATTTATGATGATTTCTAAAAATACTTCCTCCATTCCATTTTATACTCCATCCGTTTAAAAATTATTTTCTCGTTGCGCGTGACTGAAGTTATTTTCAAATCATTTTATATGAAAAATGGTATAGAATTAAAAAATAAAAATCTCATATTAAAAAACTTTAATAAAAAATATACAAAACTAGAAGTATCATGAATATATTATTTTATCAAATGGACAATGAAAATATGCCAACAAAGTGAATAAAGTTTGACCTTTTGAATAGTGAACAAGAATATAGTTTTTGGATGAAAGAAGTAATTGTTTCCTTTTTATTGCGAGAATGGAAAGAGTTTTGCAGACACGGGGCAGGCGGTATTGGAACCTGACCATTGGGAACTGGGAAGGCAGACCAGAGACAATCAGATAGGTCAGAACGACTATTTAGCCGTGGGGGAAGGGGGGTTTGAGGGGGCGGGGTTAACCTATAAATACCTTATTTATTTTTTTCAAAGTTTCACAACACAATTTCTAATTTCTCTATTCTCTCAATCTCTCTCTCTAAATTCTCAAAATCTCTATAAATTTTATATTTGTTGTAAACTGAGTGCCTTATTAATCATATGTCAAAGTATTTATACATACACAGGAAGAGGTGAAGTCTAGGTAAACAAATTAACAAATATTCTAAATAATATGAGTAATATATATGCCATATTTAGCTCTTCTCCTCAGATATGTCATCGTTCTTTATGCACTAACAACATTATGCTACTAGATAATGTTGGCTAGGTTACTCAAGACCTATATTAACTAATTCTGCAGGATGAGTTATGCTACCTCATTAAAAAACCTTACTAAGAAAACTCATCGGGACAAAATTTAGTTAAGGGAAAAAGAGTACAACGTTCATAATCTTTACCCTCGAAATAAAATTATACTCCCCCTCAAACTAATTTATCTCGTTTAGCCTACAAAGTCCAATCTTCTTTATGAGTTACTTGAAACTATGTCTAGGCAGAGATTTGGTGAATAAGTCTGCCAAATTTTTGCTTGATTTAACTTGAAGAAAATCGATTTCTCCTTCTTTCTAAAAATCAGATGTTGAGAAAAACTTTGGTGAGATGTGCTTCGTTCTGTCTCCCTTGATGTAGCCATCCTTGATTTGAGTTATGCATGCTATATTGTCTTCATATATAACCATTGAATTCTTCTTGATTTCTTCCAAATAGCACGCTCCTTGTATGAGATTGATAAGCAATCTCTACCATGCTTACCCTCGATCAGTGTCATATAATGCTATTGATTCAGCTTGATTCAATGTTGGTGTTCGTGTTTGCTCAGTCGACTTCTAAGAAAATGTCGTATCGCCATATGTATACACGTTACCTGTCTAATTTCACACTTAAATTTGGCACTTCAGGACCAAGTACTTCTTCGCCCACTTCTTGTTACTCATATGATAAAATAATATTGTCACGTCGCTTCTAGTTTTGTAGATCTTTTGATATAGTTTTTTAATATGTAATTTTTATTTTAAATTTTCACACCAATTTTCATACAAAAAGATTTTAAAAAAATTTCAGTCAAATATCGTATCGCACAACAGGAAGTTTATTTGTGGAGTAATAAGTTTATATTTACTCAAGAATTTTAAATTTACACCTTCAACACAAAGGCAAATCAAGCAGGCCTAGAAGCAAATCAAGCATCTCAAAGGCAAAAGATGAATGAAAATTAGTGTTAAGCTAGGGAACGGTAGTAGGAAAGGCAAAGAAAAAACTTGAGTAAGATTGGACGATGGATTTGTTACCGGCTGAATCATCGCATGTGCTGCCAAAGAAGCACCGGTTCCGTTCCCTGAAACTGGTGAATGTGAACATGGAGGAGGCCTTGTCGGAGACGCCGTGCGGAGTCGACTACGGCCGCCTGGACAATGGTCTCACTTACTATGTTCGATCCAATTCAAAGCCGAAGATGAGAGCTGCTCTGGCACTGGCCGTCAGAGCTGGGTATATTCTCATCTGCCTTTCTTATNTTTACTCAAGAATTTTAAATTTACACCTTCAACACAAAGGCAAATCAAGCAGGCCTAGAAGCAAATCAAGCATCTCAAAGGCAAAAGATGAATGAAAATTAGTGTTAAGCTAGGGAACGGAAGTAGTAGGAAAGGCAAAGAAAAAACTTGAGTAAGATTGGACGATGGATTTGTTACCGGCTGAATCATCGCATGTGCTGCCAAAGAAGCACCGGTTCCGTTCCCTGAAACTGGTGAATGTGAACATGGAGGAGGCCTTGTCGGAGACGCCGTGCGGAGTCGACTACGGCCGCCTGGACAATGGTCTCACTTACTATGTTCGATCCAATTCAAAGCCGAAGATGAGAGCTGCTCTGGCACTGGCCGTCAGAGCTGGGTATATTCTCATCTGCCTTTCTTATACGTCTCTTATGCGATCTTTTGTGGAAACGAATTTTGTTTCAATGCTATGCCTTAGGTTTGGTGCATTAGGTTTGTTTCCCCCCGAATTTGATGGTTTCTGTCTTTTGTTTGTGTGGTTAGCTTTACAAAGGGTAGTAGAAATGTAGAATAGGTACCTACTGTAATGAAAACAGAATGTGGTTCACAACATTTGTTTCTCTTCCAAAAATGAAGTTGAAGTGCATTTTTTTCTATTATTTTGGGACAGGGAGTATTTGAGAGTGCTACTATATTTCCAATGGATCAAAGATCATAGTATTCAACCGCAACTATGTTTTTCATTTCATTCGTTTTGATATACGCGTACAACACACATGTTTAGGTATTAATAGCGTGATGAATACAATGCAAGTCTTGGTCTTGTGGTATGATTTCAATGTGAGTGTGTTTTATGAGACAAGATGAATTCAAGGACGCTTCCATGAATTGATTCTCTTGTTGTTTGCTTGCAGCATGTGTTTGTTTATTGTGACTCTTGACCATGCATGCTTTATATACTGATTCGCTAATCAAGTGCAGTTAAATTAATTGCAGATCAGTTTTAGAAGACGAGGAAGAGCGTGGTGTTGCTCATATAGTAGAACATCTTGCTTTTAGTGCCACTGAGAAATACACAAACCATGATATTATTAGGTTTCTTGAAAGTATCGGGGCTGAATTTGGTGCTTGCCAGAATGCAGTCACATCTGCTGATGAAACTATTTATGAGCTCTTTGTTCCAATTGACAAACCAGAGTTATTATCTCAAGCAATTTCTGTATTAGGAGAGTTCAGCTCGGAGGTATTAATAATTGCCTTTTTGTAGAATCTTTGAAAACATATAGTGCATCCGTCTCAAAATGAATCTTACACTTTAACTTCACAGAGTTTAAGAAAAGTATTTGAAGTGACATATACGTGGTTTAAGTTTATTTCCAACAAAGAGAACTGTTGTGAGCCACATATTCTTTTCCATAAACTTATAAAAGAAAACGAGAAAAATGTTTGTTCTAGAATAGACGGAAAAGGGAAATGTAAACTCCACTAATTTACATTCAGGTCCGAGCATCGGAGTATGACTTGGAAAAGGAAAGAGGGGCTGTAATGGAGGAATATAGAGGAAATAGGAATGCCTATGGACGGATGCAGGATGCACAATGGGTTCTGATGATGGAAGGTTCAAAGGTAATGCAAACGGTTTAATTGAGTTCTTGGTTTTGACCTTGTATTGCTTTATAGAGTTATAGTAATTAATTATGCATATTTATTGTACATCTTGGCCAAAAGAGATATGATGAAAAAAGCTAGCGACATTGTACTCTCCCTGTTCCCCTTTGTCCCTTTTATCCAATTTTGTTTATCCCAATTTTTCGCCCCATACCAATGATACCATATTTGCTATTATTTGGCTCAAATCAATTAATATTTTTGAAATTCAATATCAGTCACACCATTCAAGATTTTCCTACACTTGTGTGTCACTCTTTTTTTCTTTGAACTGAAAGCACAATTTTATTCACCATCAAAAAGTGTACAAGGATAAAACACACTACTATAATTTACATTTTCCTCCTATATTCTATACAACAGTTAACTAGATTCATACCCGTGCGATGCACGGCGAGAAAGTTTTCAATTTTTTTTATAATAATGCTGTTAAAATTAGATGTTAGTTGCTAAACATATAGATTTGTACAATGATATTACCATAAGAATAGTTTTCAATATGATTATCGACATCTTTAACTTTACCACTACAATTAAAAGAAAATTAAAATTGATGGATATTGATGCAAATATGATTTAGTTACTTTTCATGCATTTATGATTGCTTACAATCACTCAGACTCTTTACAACGACATTGTATATTATACTACCTCCGTCCCTGAGTATTTGTCCGGTTTTGACTTTTTTCGGTCAATTGTTTTCAACCCGTGACCTATAATTAAATAAAATATATATTGTAGTTTAATTAAATAAAACAATATTTTGAAAATATTTGATATAATAAATCTAATAAAACTCTTTTTATAACAATATCTAATATCATTTTTATTTAATTTGAGGTCAAAGTTTACTAATTTTGACCGAAAAAGTCAAAAGTGGACAAATACTCAGGGATGGAGGGAGTAGAAACAAATCCAACATTAGACATTTTGGAAAACTTCTTTGTAGACAACATTTGTAGTGTGGTCCAAGGGTTTCCCACCTTCATCGCAAATCACAATCTTTAAACCACCTCGACTCGTCACTCGAGAAACTGCAACTTAAAGTTGACCATGACTGAAGACAAGTTTTTTTTAACAATAAGCCAACGTGTGTAAGTGATTGTCCCTGACTCTTATTAATTGTCATTGCATCAGAAGTCATGATCGGGAACTGTTTTCTCTAAAACTTGAAAGGAATTCTAGTATCAAATGGGTCAAAGATAATCTTAGTATTACGACCTCCATTCCAATATACTTCCCCTACATTATTTTAGCTTGAATGAAATGGTTACCCAACCGAGTAACAATAAATCTTGTTCCATTACATAGCCCCATCGATGAGTCAATATTCCTTAGCAACATTATTGGAACGCTAGATGCTTGAATCCCGTTCAAGGACTCAGGAGTGTGAATATCATTCAAACAATCAAAGTTGCTTTCGGACTTGCAAATGGAATCTGAGCTTAGATATGTCTTGCACTCTTTGGAACCATTTAATGTAGTCATGTAATCATTGATTACATCAACAATTCCGAGTGCAGGTACTAAGATTGCTCTTTCTTGTACGTACGAAGGGTTGTTTGCAATCTTCTCCATATTCGGATAAGTGGCCTAGACAATTGGATGGGATCATCTCAGAACTTTATTAACATGTCATCGGGGATCTGAATTTTAGGATGCCCATCATTACCCTCCCTCGCGGTACCATCACCAATACTTGCAATCCGATTTGAGAATTCTATCAGAGACTCATAGTTACTCGTATCGGCCAAAGAATTCAATCACATGTTCATGGTCAATTGTTAGACAACACAATGCTCCCATATATATGAGGAATTAATTGTCGCATTTACTATGCCTTGGCGTGTACCCTTTGGAATTACTGGAAGAATTTAACGAAAATCACCACCAAAGACAATTGTCTTACCTCCAAAGGGTTTATTTGCATTTTTGGGCATATTTATAGAGTTATAGTAATTAATTATGCATATCAATTATGTTTTATAGAGTTATAGTAATTAATTATGCATATTTATTGTACATCTTGGCCAAAAGAGATATGATGGAAAAAAACTAGCGGCATTGTACTCTCCCTGTTCCACTTTGTCCCTTTTATCCATTTTGGTTTATCCCAATTTTTCGCCCCATACCAATGATACCATATTTGCTATTATTTGGCTCAAATCAATTCATATCTTTGAAATTCAACATCAGTCACACCATTCCAGATTTTCCTACACTTGTGTGTCACTCTCTTTCTTCTTTGAAGTGAAAGCACACATTTTATTCACCGATCAAATCCAAGTATACAAGGATCAAACACACCACTATAATTTACATTTTCCTCCTATAGTCTATAAAACAGTTAATATTGAATAAAATATAGCTAATAGTCTCTTCTTCCTTGATCTCCTTGTGGTGAATATACCCATTTCTAGACCTCCATATTCCATAGCTACAAGCTGCGCACACAGCAAGTGTGGTGCCCCTTGTCTTCTTAGGTTTGATTTTCATAATCTTATCCCCTACCTTATCTAGCTCATTAGCTTGTGTCCTGATCTGGAAACTCTTAAATATATTCTTGTAGTCAACAGTTTGAGCATAATGACACTTCCAGAATAGATGTTTACTATTCTCAAGGTATTTGCTCAATCTTTCTTTAGCTTGCTATCTCCCTTTCATGAGGAGCCAAAAAGTAAATTGAAATTTGGGAGGAGTAAGCCTATTTCATACCCAATCCTTCCATTCAGGAACTTCTTTCTCTCCTTGCAGCCAAGCATACCTGATGTGAATGAAATCTTCCAAATATTTCATAATTGGCCCATGAGAAGAAAATATTATGAGAATGGAGTCCATATTTCATAATTGGCCCGTGAGAAGAAAATATTATGAGAATGGCTTGGAAAATGGAAAACTTTCCTTTTTAAAAATAAACCATAAATGGCATGAGAGAGACTAATATTTAAAGTATTTCCTTCCATTTATGCCAAGTCAAATAATCAATGATGGAGAAAATTAAGGGTAATTTGACTTCCTTATTTGAAAGATTGCTAATTCAAGATGGTAGATCAAGATTAAATCCTTTCATATACAAAGATTTCATTTCAAGAATACTTTCCATATACGGAGAATACTACGAAGCATGGAGTTATTAGATTTAATTATTCTTGGCCAAAACTAATGTATATGTGGCCAATAAACTAAGAGTAATTTTTATTTAAATTTGATTTATTCAAGAGTGTTGTGGCTAGGTTTTCTCTTATCAACTCCCTTGTTGCAAAAAGAGTATCTTATCACCTTTAAGGTGTGGCGAAGCAATCCTTATCACCTTCTCTAAGGTGTGGTGGATATTATCCTGTTTCATCCATTTTATTTTCTTGATTTTCTGTTTTCTTCAAGTGTCAAGTTGTGTTCGTCCTAGACCCTTCCATCAAATTCACAAAAATACCCTCTCAGGATATCATAGTTAGCTCTTCTTGGCATATTTTCAAACCGATTCCTAACATTGATCATTTCTCTCCAATAATGACATGGATCAGGTTTTGGGATATAATACAAAAGGAAGATAGTTTGATATATCTACTATGGATCCATTTGACCCATAGTATGTCTTCTTCTTCCATATCCCAATTCAACTTCATGAGTGCTTCTTTTTTCCAGTTCATCCAATTTCTTAAGCCCTGTTCACCATACCTTTTAGGGGTACAGACCTCATCCCATTGAATAAGAGGTGCTTTCTTGTATTCATGAGATCCTCCCCTAAGAAAATATCTTCATATGGCTTGTATTCTCTTCATCACCATCTTAGGGGTTACAAATACTCTTGACCAGAAAGTTATAACCCCCATATGAACAAAATTGATTTTCAACACTGCAAGAAAAGTGTCTTAAACCCCAAGCTGTTATCTTACCAGTAAGTATATTGATTAAGCTCTCACAGCTTTCAGCGGGGATGCTGTAATGGGGCTTCCATGGTATGTGAAAGGAAGTTTCCCTTTACACATATTTGTGATTTTAGAAAGCTGCCGGGATGCCGTAATGGGGCTTCCAAGGTATCTGAAAGGGAGTTTCCCTTTGCAAATATTTGTGATTTAAAAAGCTGGTCTTGATGCTGTTGGCTAACACTTCCAAATACTATCTGAGACTTGGTCTTGTTCCATGTAGTTAACCTGAACTCCTCCAGAGCCCTCATAATACATTGAATGGATCTGTTATCAGCCTTCCTAACAACTATCAAGTCATCAGCAAATATTAAGTCAACAATCTTCAAACTAGCAGATATTGGGTGATATTTGAAGCAATCTTCCTGGGCAGTGTGCTGAAAAAATTGAGTTAGATATTCCATCACCAAAACAAAGAGTAGAGGGGATATAGGGTCCCCTTTTCTAAGATCTTTCCCCCCTTTAAAGTAGCCACGATGCTCTCCATTAATATTAAGTGTATAAGGTGTATTTATACAGAACATAATCCAGTTCATGAACTTTGAAAACTTGAGGCTGTATAACATCCCTCTAATTGCTTTCCAACTGACAGTATCATATGCTTTCTTGAAATCCCATTTCATCATACACCTTGGAGATTTCCCCTTCTATATCCCTTAGCCAACTCTTGATGAACAAGTACACTATGAAGTAACTCTCTACCTTTAACAAATGCTCTTTGATTCAAGCCCACCATATGAGGTAAGATTGTTTTCAGTCTCATGCTAATGAGTTTATATATAATTGTATAGATCATATTGCAGCAGGCAATTGGTCTATAATTAGCAGGGGTTATGGTGTTATCCACCTTAGGAATAACTGTCAAGCTGGTAGAGTGGTAGCGGTAGCATTGATCTGTATGAGAGTTTTACCAGTCTTGAAGAATTCTAGTACCACATTAGTTATTAAGTTTCTCACAATCTTCCATTGAGTTTTAAAGAAGCCACTGTTCTAACCATCAGGTTCTGTGCTCTTAGAGTTGGGGATAGAGAACTGAGCTTCTTTAACTTGTTGAGGACTGAAACTCTTGACGAATTCCATCGGTTGCTCAATTGTGAGCATATTTCTTTTCTCCATAATATGAATAATATCAATACTCACCTCTTCTGTATACGAGGCAGTACCTATAAGGTCCTTATAGAATTTTATCATCACTTCAGCTACCCCATTTGTACTTCATTTAATGTCTCCAGCCCCATTTTTTATGGATATAATGACTCCAGCCTCATTTTTTATGAATCTGTTTCTTCTTTGTCTAGGCATAAAAGAATCTAGAATCATGGCCCCGTTCAGTTATCGAGGTTTGTTTAGCTTGATGACATTTCAATGCATAAGTTGCTTTGATTTTAGTATGAAGTTCTTCAAGCAGTCTTTTATCTTTATGAATAAGTCTTGATTATGAGGACCTACTTTAATAGTTAATACTATTCAGAACCAGCATAAGTTTTTCTTTGACTTTGTCAACTTGTTTGTGAGTTTGTTGATTGTTGTTCTTATGAAGTCTATTTAGGGGTTCTTTACGCCTCTTCATATTCTGTATCACGTGGAACATACTTCTGTCTTTATCATGTTTCGAGTTTTGGGCCATAAGTTGGGGAAACATAGGGTCAAAGTTAGAGGTGAATGATCTGAGAGTCCTTCATCCACCACCTTAATATAGTAGTAAATTTCAGCATCCATTCCATGTTAGACATAGTCCAACTAATAATCATGATAAAAAATGGGTAATGCCCATTATAGGGGGCCTCCAGCAAAACTTTATGTATCACCCCAGGCTTATCCTCCTAGAAGCTTTTTTCTTATTCACCTCGTGAAAGTCATCTTAATCCACATTTTTCTCATTAATTTTTGTTGGCTCGTTATTACCCTTACAATCTTCCTTCTGATTCTTATCCATATTATTCTTATGATCTTCTTGTTCCTCCTTTTTGGAAACATTCTTTTTCTTCCACACCAGTTTCTTCTTCTGTTCATTATTTTTCCTACAGTTCTCCTCCTTAGGTCCCACCATCTTGCAGTGATTACACAGAGTGAGACATTATTCATAGGGAATAGCTTGAGTCAGTCACCAATCTGTCTTTATTAGTAAATAAGATTTGGTCTGGAAATGGTTATTGAACCTGGACTTCCACCATGAGTCTAGCATACCCTAGTTTTGTCCTCCTAGTAGTAGCCCTATCCACTCTGACTGGTTTCCCTACCGTACTCCCAATCTTAGTGGGCCCAGATAAGCTCCAATATTTAAGATCTAGTTTGGGTAGTTGGGTCCAGATTGGTGTGACTTTCAAATCTGTTATATCCACCTTACATCCTGGCCTCCAGCTTTGAACAAACATAGGTTTATTATCGAAGTAATATACCTTTTCTCAGAAACCTCCTCTTTGTCTTCTACATTATCAAATATGATGATGTACTGATTCTCTTTCAAAAAAGTTATGGAACCAATTAAGTAATGTTTCCATACCCTTTCAGAAAACCAGCAACCACTTCTGAAGGTGATTTTGCTTCAATGATACAACATATATCGCATTATCCCAATACCCAGTAGCTGGACGTAGAGATTACATCTTTCTTTGTTAGGTTAACCACCTACATTAATTCACTTTTTCCGCAGGGATATACTGGAGTTTGAGATCCGATAGATCCTTGTCTCCAAGTACCTCTACAAATGATTTCTTCAGTTTATTGTTCTTATCCAGTATCAGTGCCTCCTGCTCATCCAATTTTGGTTTAGATTCTGGTGTAGTCTCAAAGTGGCACTAGATGATCCAAGTTTTGATTCATCAGCAAGTTTGACCTCAAAATCCTTCCATCTTTTCAGTCGTTCTGATGTAGTAGCATTCACATTAGTTAATTGGGATTTGGATTGATTATCTTGTTTGGAATTCTGACTCATCTTCTTTTTTGAGCTTCCTCAATTTCGCGCCATGGCTAGAGAGAAGGAAAGTGCTCGATAAGGTCCTACTTTGATATATTGTGTGTGTGTGTGTGTCACTCTCACATGTTATAAAAAGAAAGGGATGGAGGGAGTATTTTTCAACTACTTTTGGGAATATTTTAAGTTGTTTGGTGACAATCTTATTGAAAGAGTTTATGTTTCTAATTATGCTTTTACTGTTAGTGAAGAGCTAAACATGATTAAGTTGAAGAATGAAGTATTACCTTTCTTTGATTTAGGGCTTACTCGTATTTGTATTTTTTGTAGTGGAATTGGAATATTCATGAACGATAATCGAATAACTTAGAGGATTGAATAACTAAACCAAATTATGATGTGCTTTTGTCTGATGCCAAAGATACTGGATTAAATGCTTCAGCAATCAGTTTGATTTGGTTAACTTGAACACAATATTTACTGTCAAGAGCCTTTTATCGAGTAATGAAGCATGATTTTAACATCCATATCAACTTATTTCTGCCTCATGATATTTCTGCTTCAATTTGAAAAACCTTTGATAGATGATGGTTTTGGAATTTCATCTTATTATCACTTCATAAGAAAGTTGTGATTGGAATGACATTCATCATAAAATTTTGGGTAATTTACCTAAATAGGACTAAAACATAATGACTTTCTGAATATAGCACCATATGTTTTTATTTCCCAATGTAGGACCATTGGTCATTATCTATTAGTCATTATTCAACTAAATGTCCAGCATCACTTGGGCATTATTCTTCTCACTAGTCATTATTAAGTCCTATTTAGAGAATAAAAAAGTTTAAGTCCTACATTGGGAAATGACTTATGTTTTAGTCCTATTCAGTGCAAATTCTAATGATAAATATTCTTTTCAACAATATAAGAGCCCATTTGGTTAGAGTAAATTTGCTTGAAATGATTATTTGCTTATCTCGCAGCTAAAAAAGATTAAATGCCTAATTGATCTCAATTCTGTAAAAATTCAGTTAATACGCACTTTTTGAAGCTGCTATGAAGTTTAAACTTGAACTGAATTTGCAGTATGCTGAGAGGCTACCCATTGGAGTAGAAAAGGTGATCAAGACAGTTTCTCCTCAGATTGTGAAACATTTCTATAAAAAGTGGTACCAACTGCAGAATATGGCTGTTATAGCTGTAGGAGATTTTCCTGACACACAGGTCTTGAGAATGACTTATTTATTTNTATTTCTATGAAAAGCTAGATAGTTGTCTATGAGGGAACCACCTTTTGTTTATGTAATCTTGGTTTGGCAAATGCCTTGTATTTCTTGAAAATCAAACTTGAGCTTTATCGCAACATAAACCTAGTAAGGTCATACAAGTGCAGTCTTTGTAGGGTGGGTGTAACATACCTTACCCACACCTATTTGGTAGCAAGAATCACAGCCCAAGCAATATTGCCGAGTTTTAAATAAAAGTGGCATCTGATTATTCAAAGATAAACTCAATTTACACTGAAATTTGTGAAAACATTTGACAATTTACCAGTTGCGGGAGGAATTGTCCTGGTCAGCCAGTTAGCAAACTTAGAACCCAAATACTTTAAGAATTTTCAGCAATTCAATTCATTCATTATTGTATCTGTGAGTAGGTTTCCATGCATACAGTATAAGCTCTTTCAAATAGTGAATTAAAGGCGTGGGCAATACTCTATAGGAAGGGGTCAAATTGCAGACTCCTTGTAGGTAATTTATGTAATATGTTATCCCGTTTCTTGACCATCTTGGTTACCTTTTCAGGTGGATAGTGGAGCAGTTTGAACATCAGAAAGTTGGGGCTTTTGAGTTAATTTTATCAAATGGCATGCGAGTGTGCTATAAGTGCACTGACTTTCTTGATGATCAGGTATGAAGTTCAGATACATTAGTGTCTATCAACTTTGCTAGTCTGCTATTTCATCATATTTATGTGCCTTTGTCTTCTTCATATCTTTTGAGTCTTAGTAATTGTCACCCTTCCTTGTAAAGCATTATTTTGTAGAATTTTGACAAGAGTTACCAGCCTGCAGAGATGTTACTTGAAAGTGACTATATTTGTTGGCATTGGTACCATTCAGAAAGGCATTTTAAATGAAAATATATAATACTCTGTAATCAAGTTGTATCATATATTTGCCGAAAGACTGTAAGGTTCCTAATTGTACCATGCATAATTCCCAATATTGTGATATCGGAAGTGTCTTTTCCAAGTAATTACTTCTAGAAAAGTTGAACTTTAATGTCACAGTACTATACTTGTATGTATCACGTATTCTTAACATGAGGATTCGTCTTCAGAAATACGGATCATGTCTATCTTTTTGAAAGTTCCTTTTGTAGGAATATTTAACTCTCAAGGATTTTTCAACCTATGGCATCTTTTCAGAATTAATGCTTAGCTCATCATGTCATCAATGCTTAGCTCATCATCATTGTAAATTGTAATTAGCTATAAATATAACTCACCATAACTTACCTGAATAAATATTTCAGTTCTTCATTCTTTATTTGTCTTCTTCGAAGGGCATGGCATGAATGAGGATAATGTTCCAATTTCCAAACAGCAAAACATGCTATGCTAAAATATATTGTAGTACTTCAGAAATAACTGTTTTACGAATTCCTGAAAGGGAACAATAATAATTGATAAAACAATTATAGGAAATCTATGGAAAGACAAGTTTTTCTTGCTAAGTACAACCTAAGAATATCAACTGGACATATTAATTCCTGGGAGAATTCGTGAAGTTAATACAGCTACACTATGCCTGAAATTCTCCGAGGGCTTGTTGGTTTGAATGTATCAACTGAATAAAAATGTTTTGTTTAATTCACTATTATTGTGGATGAATGGGGCATTGAGCACATGCCTCCTTTCTTACTAAAGGTTAAAGCTTAAATGAGGTGTCATTTTTCCCTAGGAACCCTACATTTTAGTAGTTGGTAAACTTAGGATTTATAATCCCATGTTGTGCAACACACAATCACATTATTTTCATGCTTTTTATCATCCCAAGATTGTTTTCAATTTCACTGTAAAACTTAAGGACGGTTTTCTGCTCTTAATTGTCTTGCAGTTATCTTATTAAAGGCATGCCCGACACAATTTTGTGGTTTCCACTTAGGAGCTAATGAAAATGCTTGTCATTTGCATTATTTAACATTTTTTTTAAATAGGTTTTATTCACAGGGTTTTCGTATGGTGGTTTATCTGAAGTTCCAGAAAGTGAATACTTCTCATGTTCAATGAGCTCAACCATTGCTGGTGAAATTGGTGTTTTTGGTTATCGGCCTTCAGTTCTTATGGAAATGCTTGCTGGAAAACGAGTTGAAGTTGACACAAAACTTGGGGCATATATGAGAACAGTTTATGGTGATTGTTCACCTTCAGATTTAGAAACTGCATTACAGGTTTGCAATGTGTAATTTATTGTCTTTTCAACACTAAAGTAAAAAGGTCATGTGCTTTAGATTTCACAACTTTGAATGACGGTGATGTGCTTGGTAAAGTTAATTGTTTACTACTCCAAGGATTTGTACCTTGCATGGTAGAAATAATGTTCTTTAGGTTAAATAGGTGCCAAATTGCCAATGAAGACTATTTTATTGTGCTTGGTATTGTGGAGAATAGGTAGAAAAATCAATCATTCTTAAATGTTTTAATGAGTTTATGATTTGGCAGTTGGCACATTAAACTTCTCTTGCTTCTCACTTTCTATGAAGTTTTTGGAGGTAAATACAGCATTGCATCATGGATCTAACATAAACAACCTTTCTTTTCATTATAGATGTATGCCTGTTATATGGGGATGTTACGATGGATGTGTGGGAAGACAAGATTGGATAGGATTTCGAACGAAGTTATCCGACGTCAGGTAGGCATGGCACCGGTGGAAGATAAGTTGCGGGAAGCGAGGTTTAGATGGTTTGGCCATGTGAGACGGTGGGATGCTGACGCCCCTGTACGGAGATGCGAGAGGATTACAGTTATTGGGGGAAGTAGGGGAAGGGGTAGACCTAGGAAGAATTGGAAGGAGGTGATTAGGCAGGATTTAGGACTTCTCGACCTGACTGAGGATATGGCCCTAGATAGGAACCTTTGGAAAACTAGGATTAGAGTAGCTGGATAGGAGCTCGGTGTTGTAAAGGTTGTTTTGTAGTGTGTTGTATTTGTTTGGAATCTTCTGCTATTGCTTGTACTTGTTGCTTGTACTTGGTGCTTTATCTATGTTATACTGTGTTCCCTTCCATATTTTTGTGCAGGTGGAGCCGGGGGTCTCTTGGAAACAGCCTCCCTACTTCCGAGTAGGGGCAAGGTCTGCGTACACACACCCTCCCCAGACCCTACTGTTGTGGGATTCACCTGGGTTGTTGTTGTTGTTGTTGTTGTTGTTGTTGTATAGAGGTATGCCTGTATTTCTGACCCCAGAACCCAACGGCGTTGGGGTTATATTGGGTTGTTGTATGTTACATAACTGAATAAATTCATTTTGAAGTCTAAGAAAAAATATAAAACTGATAGGAATATCTAGAGATGCCATCTTAGGGCCATCTTAGGGCTGTAGGGTTTGTGAGCGAAAAGTGTTGGGGGTTGGCTTCTCTTCCTCTTCTGTAGTTTGGTGTTGCTGGGTGGATAGCTAGTACCATGAGACATTTTTTCTTTGTTATTCCCTTGTTTGCTTTACCCACTTACCTATATTGTATTGCTTTCCTCCTTTTTGATGCTTGCCCACTTTCCAATTTTCCCATTCCAAATTTATGTTTCACATTTGGTCAAGCAAGATTATTAAGAACCAACCTAGGATATGTTCACGTGTTCAAACATATATTAATATTATACACTACATTGTTGTTAAGTCGCCGACAAGTCGTTGCTTTACAAATTATTAAGATCTAAGAACCAACCTAGGATATGTTAATGTGTTCAAACTTCAAACACATATTAATACTATACACTACATTGTTGTTAAGTCGTCGACTAGTCGTCCAGTCGTTTTGGTGGTGGCGACTGATTGTTGCCAAGCGAGTAGCGACTTGGGTGGACTAGTCGTCCGGTCGTGTAAAGCGACGACTAGTCGCTGATGAAAACCCTACCCAATTTGGCCTAACCCAATTTGACCCAACCTGACCAAATTTCATTAAGTTTTAAAAAATACTCCGTAAAAGCATCACCTCCCTCATTCGCTCAGCACATCGCGATAGTCCTTCCCAACTTCTGTCACTCTCTCTCGCCAAAACCCAACTTCTAGGATCGATTCTTCTGGAATCGATTCTTCTTCATCTTCATCGATTCTTCTCCATCATCCTCCATGGGTTAAGATCTCTTTATCTTTAACTTCTTTTTGTGCTTGATACCTTTGTTGGTACTTGGTGTGTTGTTTTTGATGATTGAAGGGTATTTGTTTCTTATGTACCCTTCGTTATGTGACTTTATGTGCAACATCTAAAGATAATTTTGTTTTGGTAATGATATTTCTTCATATAAATATATATACTTATCTTTGGTCAATGAAGATATATATAATATAAAAAATTTAAATACTAATTGTGATTTGCCTACGACTAGTAAGCCGACTAGACAACTAGTCCACTAGTCTCTTCTTCACCGACTCGACTCGACTTGACTCGACTTGTCGCCTTGATAATCATGATACACTAACACCAAAATTAAAAATACCATTAACATGTGCTATTGACTCGGTGCAGGAGGATCATATGCTCTAAGTGTTGCACACAATTTCAAATGGTTGCCTTTATGGCTTTATGACTTAAACTTGAAACTTGAAACTTGAAATTAAGTTGGACTTGACATTTTGACTTGAATTTAGTTTAATTTTCAAGTCCCAACAAAAATATTTGAATAGAGGCTGTCTACTTGTACAGTGCTGATAAGTTTTGTTACCCAACCAACCTTTGCAGAGTAATAACTTGACCAGGGAGTGTAGGGACTAGGGATAAACATATTAGTTGATGTATCGTAAAGATTTGAGGTAATGTCAAGGCTTGAAAAATAGCTTTTGGTGCATAGTTTTCTATAGAAGCCGTTATTGTTGGATAACACTGTGAATACATGAAATCGTAACATATTATGATACACAGATCAAGATATTGAATCACAGCTGCAGTATAATAAATATAACAATACTCAAGATTAATGCTGTTAATCAAACATTCAAACTGAAGATATCCTTTAATTCCTTGGTATTATTGTAGTCATCAGCTATCCAAAAACAATTCTCTTCTTTTGTGATGTTAGTTGCCTGTTTTCTGCAACATGATACCCTCTCTCACCTTGCCAGCTGGTCTATCAACTCTTCACCACAAAAGTAGAACCAGGACAAGAGGATGTCAAGATAGTGATGCAAATGGCAGAAGAAACTATATGTGCTCAGGAGAGAGATCCCTACACTGCCTTTGCAGACCGTGTGCGGGAGCTTAATTATGGGAACTCCTATTTCTTCAGGGTAAGCATGATCTCCTTGGCTTGTTTTTAACATTTCAAGCTGCACGTTTAGGGAACTTATCGCTTAATTGAGTTTTCTGATGCAGCCAATTAGAATTAGAGATCTTCAAAAAGTCAATCCATATAAAGCATGTGAATATTTCAGCAATTGCTTCAAGGATCCTTCAACATTTACAATGGTGATTGTTGGGAATATTGACCCTGCCACTGCACGTCCATTAATATTACAGTATTTGGTAAGCCGTATTAACTGCCTATTTTTTTCAGCCCTAAAGTGTGAGAGTCTCCATATGTTGATCTCAAAGTTGCAATGCAGGGCGGAATTCCAAGGCCACCTGAGCCCATATTACATTTCAACCGTGATGCTCTTAAAGGCTTGCCATTCAGATTTCCTTCAACTGTAATTAGGTGGGTTTCAGCCTAAATTTGCAGTGCTGGCAGGTATTGGGTAGGATTGCTGCTTAAAAAATCTTGAGTTGCATATTCATCTTTGTGAACTTGGATTGTTATGTAATAATTAGTTTTCATCTTGATGTCACGGGTTTATGTTTATCTAACATGTTTCATGTGCTTGTAGAGAAGTTGTTCGTAGCCCTATGTTGGAAGCACAGTGTTCAGTCCAACTATGCTTTCCTGTTGAGCTAACAAGTGAAAACATGGTATGATGTATGTCTTGCTATTTATAGGTCAATACAGTTACATTCATAAGAGCTTTAGTTTTGATACTTATATGTGCGTTCTAAATTATACTGCTTCATTAAACATGGTAGATGGAAGATGTTCATTTTGTTGGTTTTCTTAGCAAGTTTCTTGAAACTAAGATAGTACAAGTTCTCCGCTTTAAGTATGGGCAGGTACATTTTTGTGTTCTTTATCATCTACTGTAATGTTTTTTGAAGATATGCTGTCCTGTATCTGGGCTGTATATAATTTAATAATTTAGTGACCCTTTATTCATTTATTATTTTGCATAGATATACTCTGCTGGAGTTTCTGTGTTTCTTGGTGGCAATAGACCATCTAAAGTTGGCAATATTCGTGGTGATATTAGCATCAACTTTTCTTGTGATCCTGATATCTCCTCAACATTGGTCAGTTTCCCATCTAATTATAGGAGCTATTGCAACTACCTCTTGGAGTTCTTATGTTACATTTTCCTTTTCTAAAAAAGGTTGACATTGCATTGGATGAAATATTGCGTCTCCAAGAAGATGGACCCTCCAATGAAGATGTTTCCACCGTGCTAGAAATTGAGCAGAGGGCACATGAAAATGGATTACAGGTATGTCCACAACAAGGTATTTGACTTAAATTGGCTGCAATGCACATGTTTGTGAAGACTTAGGGGCTGTTTGTTTCAGCCTCTTAATGGTTCAGATGTCTGAATGGTTCAGCACTTAATGGTTCAGACTGTTTGTTTCAGCCTCTTAATGGTTCAGATGTCTGAATGGTTAAGACATTTGCCTCTGAATGGTTAAGTATTATACAGAGTGAATGGTTAAGACCTCTTATTTGAATTGATCAGACATTTGCCTCTAAATAGTTAAACAATATACTAGCTCTTAATGGTTCATACCTTTTACTGGTTCAACACTCTGGTTCAGCACTTACCTATTCAGAAGTTGCCAAACAGCCCCTTAGTTGCATAATTTGAATAAATAGCACAATGGGCATTATTAATATTTGAAGATGCTTTTAGTTAACTAGTGGTCCCTACAACAATAGACCCTGTGAAGCCCCACGAGTGGATGTGTGTGGAGGGTAGGTGTATGCAGACCTTACACCTTCTTCCACCTCATAACTTTCTTCTTGTTCTCCTTTTTAAGATGTCCTTAATTTTTTTCAAGTTACCTATGAAGGAAAGAATTTCTTTCAAGCCCCACGTAGTATTTCTTTTAACTTTTAATTTTTTTAGTTCCTTTCTTTTCCAGCTTCCCTCTCCCTCTTTTGAATTCAGTTCAAACTTCAAAGAATGATGTCACATTTTTTGCGTGAACTTTTGTCCTTATTGAATATTTAAAAGGTGTGAAGATGTATTTGAGACATTTATGTTTCATGCTATTTTTTAATGCTTATAATTATATTTTTTATGTTTTAAGAATTAAGATAGGATATCATTTTCTGTAAAAGTCAGAATTATGATTTTTATCTTTTATTCAACATGAAAATGGATTATGCATTTTGTCTTACCTCGGAGTACATATTTACTATTATCTTTTTCATATTGAACTGAGGCTTACACCTTGTTCCGTCTCGAGGCTTACACCTCGAGGCATTTTGCTCCACCGCCTCGAGGGTAGTTTTCGCCTTTCAAAACCTTGTCTTCCACACTGTTCCAATGTCCACCATATTATTTTTTATAAAATTCAGAATTATGATTTTATCTTTTATTCAACATGAAAATGGATTATGCATTTTGTCTTACCTCGGAGTACAAATTTTACTATTATTTTTCTCATATTAAACTGAGGCTTACGCCTCAAGGCATTTTGCTCCACCCCCTCGAGGCTAGTTTTTGCCTTTTAAGACCTTATCTTCCACACTGTTCCAGTTTCCACCATATCCCCCCCTCCTCCTCCTTCCCAACAACCAAATTTTTTATATAGCAATCACTTCGATATAATGCTGATGTTTTTATACTGCAGGAGAATAGTTATTGGCTGGAGAGGATGCTGCGCAGCTACCAATCACGGATCTATTCTGGTGATGTTGGTAGTTGTTTTGAGGTCTGATCCATTGCTCTGTGATGGTTTTCCCTTGTTATTCCATCTTTAAAGTCTTCAACTCTATGCGGGTGTAATCCATTCATAAGTATAGTTTCAATAAAGAAAACTTTTTTAAGGGGTTATGCCACAGCTGGTCTCTCTAGACTGTAGTGATATTTTCACTTTGGGAACTGCCGGACTGATCTCTCAATGTGGAATTCTTGAATTACCCTAAAACCCCTAACTATAAACATTGTTATAATAGCACCCGAGATGATTTTACCACTTTGAAATGTCCAAAAGAAAAAAAAAATCGTATATGAAGAAACATTATTTGCAAGAGATATATTTAACATATGTTGTAACATGACCTTGCAGTCCGGTTCAATCTTTCGTGTACCCATGACCGTGTAGTCCAGTGGCATCAGCTTGTGGGTGTGGGTAGTATGTAAAAGAATAAGTTACGGTTTCCACCCCTTAGGAGTTTGTGAATAATGCATATATTTTATTCTATGTAAGTGTGAAAATAATATCCTCTTGAGTGACCTGTCATAAAATCTCGTCATGCAGGTGCAGGACAAGGCCCGTTCTAAAGTTAGAGAAACATTGACTCCGTTGACAGCCCAATTGGCATTGCAAAGACTACTTCCATTTCCGTGCAAGAAACAGTACACTGTAGTAATTTTGATGCCACAAACTTCTCATATGAAAAGATTAAAGTCATTCATATGTTCTGCTCCAACACGATATTGTACAGAAGCAAAGGTGAGTAGTGCCTTTATTTAATTTCTTTCAATATAAAGTTGTTGCTGTGTGACTGTGGTCACAAGTTAGGGTCCTGGAAGCAGCCTCTTGTAGACATATAGGGTAAAGTTTGCCTTCATAACATTCTTGTGGTGGGACCTTTCCATGGACCCCCTTTTTTTAGGACGCTATGTGCACCAGATGCCCTCTTTTTACCCTGAATATATGGAGTACTTATTAAAGGCCATGTGATTATGACTAAATTTTCATCTGCAAAATGTAGTAATAACAGCTTGGTAAATCTAGGCCTGACAAAAGCTGACCCAACCTGTTTTTGACCTGAGATCCAACCCGAAAATACTGGGTTTTGAACAAAAGTTTTGTTGACCGAACCCGAACATGATCGAACCCGAAATGGCCCGCTAAAATTAAGTCAAACCCGACCGAATTCTAACAGTGACTAACCCGCTAAAGTAAGGGTTTTACAGAATATGTACTTTATTGTTAAATATAATAGTATGATAAAATAGTGCTATAATATTATTTTTTCATATTAGTACTTTTTAGTGTATAAACTTTTTTTTTCTAAACGAGCTTTTAATGAAATTGTATTGTCATCTCATTTTTTTCAAAAAAGATCACATATTTAAATTATTCACATTATTCTTAATATTGCTCTATGTATCTAAAAATTATTTAAAAATTGAAAATAATCATTTTTTAACTTTAATATATATATACTTTGATGTTTTGCTATTTTTTCTATTGTAAAATACAAGTAATAGTGTGAATTTAAGTATTCAAAAACTAAATCTCATAACCCGTTGGGTCGACATAATAGTGGGTCATGAACATACAATTTCAAACCCGAACTCGTAACCCAAGCCCAAAGTAACACGATTCGAATTGAACCGGGTGTGACGTACCGATTTGCCAGCTCTAGCTAAGCCCATATTTAAGCACCCTGAATTTGCCTCGGTGGCTGGCCTTGTGAAGATCTTTAGCTTGGTCTTATAGCTGTTGGTTCCTTATTATGGTACCAGAGCCTTGCTGGATCAGAAGGTCATGACTTCGAATCCGGCCACCATCAAATTCCAAATAATAATAATAATAATAATAATAGTAATAATAACAACAACAATAATAATAATAATAATCACGTGCAAGACCCAAACAAAGTTGAATAACGTGCTAGCAGTTTGCACCACCAACAACCACAAATTTGAGCTTTTAGTTGAGTTGGTTCGGCGCATTGATCTCTTTGCACCACCTGCTTTGTATCGGAAACATAACTATCACATTCTTGTTTGCTTGTTTCAGGTTTTGATGGGGACAGCTGGTGTGGCAGTTTTTCTTCTCGCTTTGTGGAGATATTCACGGAATAGCCTGAAATCCTAAGTTAGACCACGCATATGAGGACCATGACATTGGCTCTTCAATATTTCAAACGTAACCATTTCCGGCCTCACACCCTTCTCTGAGTTTTATTTCACTACTATATGTATTCGACCGCACACTCTTTCGCCTTTTGAAATTGCAGCCACTTTCTTCTCTTTTATGACCACTTTAGCAAAGAAAATTTCAAGTCGTTTTACTTTTAAAACACCCCTCCATCAACCCATAAAATAATCTAGAAGTTCTTGTTCAAAACTATCTCCATTTCGGTGAGAACCGAAAATAGACCTTTATGTTTTTATCCGAATACGTTTGGTTTTTGAAACCTTTCTTAGGAGTTTGTTGGAGAGTTTCTCTTAGGTTTGTTGGTGTTATTCCAGTCTCTAATGGTATCAAAGTCTCATCTAAATCAGGTCCATACAATAAACCTTTATGCTATGAATATTAGATTCATATATTAGATTAATAACGAAGACGAGACGTTCATCACTAGCGAAAATGTTTTTATTATGTTTTAATGCATGCTTTAGCTACTGATTTCTTACCAAAATACGGAGTATTATTTTGTGGAAACCTCGCATATTTTGGACATGAGAATATTCCGTTCGTCCCAATTTAAATTGTGTGTTGTTTGCAAAATTTGATTGATGTTATTTCAATTTGATTTATTTCTAAATTCTTATAGAATTTTAAAAAATAAAATTTATATTTTTAAAAATTACATCAAAAGTTCTTCAAAAAAAACTAACAAGATTCTATTATTTTTTCAAGCGGATAGGGAAAATGGATAAAATTATATGGTTAAAGTTAGACTTTGTAAATAGTAAAAAGACAACTTAAATTGGGATAGGAGTAAAATATTTCAAACAAAACAACTAAAAATGCTACCCAAGTACATAGATTTGTAGAGTATTTATGTACTCTATATAATAAAATTTATAGTATTTCACAATTGCCCTTCAACTTCATCATTTGCACAGAAGAACTACAAAGAACAAAGAGGAGAATGAAATTGTAGCTGAGTGGATTGCCTGATTTTCGAAGTAGACGATTGGTGCTTCATCCTCGTTGATCTCCCGACAATTTTTGTTTATTTATGTGTTTTCATTTATTATTTGATACTCCGTATAATAAAATATTTTTGTGTACATTTTATTTCTACACTAATTTATAAATTAAATAATTATAAAAAGAATTAGATTTTAAGTGAGATTTTCCTTAACTTACGAATCTAGTTACATCATTGCATGCAAAAGCTCGATTCTTCTTAATTTTTATTGGCCTTTTAGCCAACTACATTCGTGTGGGGTTATGCTTTAATACTCAATTCGTCTCTATGAGTTCTTTAAACTTATTATTCGCATTATTAAATTTTATTTACTTATTTTTATGTATTTTCTGATTACTTAATAAAATAAAATAGTCCTGTCATAATTTATTTTGCATTGTACATCTTTTGGCATTATTTTTAAATATATAACTTTTATTTATTAATAACACACTAATTTTCATATGAAATGAACTAAAAATAATTTCGGTTGAACAGCATAGTGCAAGTTGGGATGAACATTGATGGAGTATGCGTTTATGTAGATGTTTTATTTACATCTTACTGAATTGCAAACGTTCAGGGCGTTTGGTCTAGTGGTATGATTCTCGCTTTGGGTGCGAGAGGTCCCGAGTTCGATTCTCGGAACGCCCCTTTTTCATATTTTCCTACCTTTTTGCATCGCTCCAAATCGGACGGTATGCTGTTCTTCTCTTCGATGCCCCTTTTTATCCTTTTTTTATGATTTCTAAAAGGGTACTATTAATTGTTTGTTCCGGATCTGCTTGAATTTTTGTTTTCTAAGCAGCACAGTTTCTTCTATAAAAAAAAGGCCATGTTTAGAAAATGATTTTTGGTTTACTTTTGACTTTTTTGAATAATTTTGGCGATTTTAACTAATCAAACCACTGAAATCATTTTATGACAAATGTTTTTTTCACTTGGCTACTCGTAATGACGGATCCAGAAAATTAAATGACTGGAGGCACCATTACACGTAAAGACAAAGTGAAATAAAAAAAATATATTCTCCCTTCATCTCAAAAAAAGGTTTGATTTGACCGAGTATGGAGTTTAATAAAAGTATAGAAATAAAATTGTGTGATAAAAATAGATGCAAATTAGATATTTTAAAAAAAGTAGAGCACAAAAAGTTTTCTAAAGAAGGAAAAAAGACTAGGCGAGTTTCAAATTTATTCTAAAACAATCATTCAAATATTTACAGAGCACATTTTAACTTAGCTTAATTATATATTTAAATTTTTATTTTTCCTTGTCTCACACGTAACAACTTTATCCAACTTTATCCAATTATTTATCCAATAATATTTTTCAGGCAAAAATAATCGACTAAAATCTATTTAGAAAAACTTTATTTCATACTCTGTAGAAAATACTCAAATCAATTTATTTTTAAATTTTTTTTATTTTATTGACAATTGAAGCAACGTAATGCAATCAAATTAAAACATACTCTCTTCGTCCTTATTTATTCATCTAGTTTGATTTTTTCGATCCAATCTAGATCAACTTTAGTACTCCCTCTGTCCACCATAGATCTTCCCAGACACTATTTACAGGGTCAAACTTTATTCACTTTGTTTGCTCATTTTTACTAGTCATTTCGTAAAATAATATAGTCTTGTCAACTCTAGTTTTGTAGAACTTTGCATGTAGTTTATTACTATATAAATTTTATTTTAAAATAAAGTCTCGTAACGCGTAACGGGAAGAACTTTGGTGGACGGAGGGAGTAGTTAATTATTCTAAATTTTATTACTCCCTCCATCTAAAAATTTCTTTCTTAATTTGAACTGACACAAAGATTAAGAAAAGTTAAAAAGTATAAAGATTTTTCATGTGTTGTTGACTTGTTGTTGATGTAATGGAATAAAGGGGATACTGTAGAGAAAAAGTAAGGTTATAATGACACATTCATTAAAAGTTTTTTTCTAAAATAGGAAATAAAAAAAGAATTTTTGGACAATCTGGAAAGGAAAGTGAGAAAAAATTAATGGACGGAGGAAATACATATTACTCCGTAATAGAATAAGATCAAGTTTTGAAAGTTTTCAGCAAAATATTTTTTATGAAATTATTTTTATATGAATATATATTATAACTTTCATTTAACTGAGTTAGAAAACTTAGTCGGTTTGACTTGAAAAAGTCAAACTAGACGAATACACCGGGACGAAGGTCCGTAGTCAAATCAGCATAATTACTCCCTCCACTCCCTACAAAATTGGCTAGTGGAGTGGGGGGAGTGGAGGGAGTAATTTCGGTGAACTAGCCGATTCGAGAATGTACTCCACTCCCTACAAAATACATACTCAAATTCATAAACTAATTTTTCGAATAAAAAAGGGATATACGGAATAATTCGATGTATTAAAAATATTCATATTTATCTGATGGACAAGAATTCTACCAAATGATCCGACTCAATGGGCGGATCGCTAGAATATTATTGATCAAAGAACTCGAGAATTACAAAGTTTTACGCTAGGTTTTTCCTCAAGATCCTTGTGAGGATCCCTCCTATTTATACATATCCCTCAACACAATTAAGGTGATTTGTTATTATGGAAGCTAATTCTGCAAATTACGCGATCCAATTTCTGTAGCTCATCTTCCCAACCTAGTCGTCTAATCCTTCCAAGCAAGCGTGTTACCAACAGCTCCTTTATTTGGGTCAGCTCGGGTTCAATGCCTTGGGCCGGCCCAACACTGACCTTGGGATGTCCATGGGTTCCACAACGCACCTGGGCACACGGGTTGGGATGCCCGGCAGGTAACGACCCATCACAAGCCCCCCAACTCCTCATTCCATTAGATAGACCACGTTGGGGAATGAGGATTTTTTGATGTCCACGTACTCCTCCTCTCAACGGATTTGAGTTGTGCCTTGCTATTCGTGCAGTAGTTGGCTCGATTACCCAGAAACAATGATCACCTATCTTCTCCTCTTCTTTCAAGCCTGGTAAAACCGCCATTGGACGCCTCCTTCCTCATTGTTCTTCAGTCCCATGATTGTGCCTCGACCCATTTTCTGTGCTTCCAGAGTTCCAGGTCAGTTTTTTCTTTGCTACCATCTCCTCTATGGATTCCGATCCTTTGCCTCTGTCTTCTAGCCCCACTCTGAAAGACCAGCTGATTAATTCTGGCCAGGATCAGGGTCCCTCTTGTCCGCCACAGCCGTCACCGGCAGCTACATCTAGCATGGGACAACGTTGGTTAAGAAAGCAGTTCTTCCCCCCAAAGCCCAAGCTACCGGGGCCCTAGTGTTGAACTTGAGGAGAACATCATGGTCATGTGCCATTGTCAAATCTCAGATCAAGGCTTTGCCGATGCCACTGATATGGTTGGTCGCGCCATTGAGGTCTGGCGACCCAGTAAGACCGAGACCGCCTTAGATGCCTCCAAGGGGTTCTTCACTTTGCACCTCGCTTCCTTGAAAAGGGGTTTGCGATTCCCATTACACCCTTTACTTTTGGAGTTCTTGACCGAGGTGGACCTCCTCCCCTGCCAACTAGTCCCTAATTCTCACTAATACATAGCGGGTTACCTGATCAAGTGTCACGAAGCGAGATTAACCCCAAATTTGGACCATTTCTTGTTCACCTTTAAACTCCCAAAGGGTCACAAGGAATGGGTCTCCTATGTTTGCCTATCCCAACAGACAAGCAAGCTCTTTGCTAGCGACAAAAAAGGAGCCTGCCAAATATTTGAAGCCCTTCTTTGTCTTTGTCTCTACTGGGCCAGAGTCTCCCTCTACCGGCTCTAGGCCTCCCTCCTTCTACCGCGTCAAGCCACAACCGGCGACGACCAAGCTTTTGGCTAACACAAAAAAGCACTCTCAAGGGGGACCGTCGAGATTAGGACGGCGGTCACCGAGGAGTCCCTGGCGAAGATCGGATTCGAGTTCTTCAAAGATGATCATCACCATCAGCCGACCTTGCTAAGGGACATCCTGGGGAGGAACGCCGATTCAAGTCCCTTCGGTAAGCCCCCTTTGCTAAGTCTTTCTTGCCTTACCAGCATTATTTGTTATTGATTGCTCATTGATGGCATTGCATTTTTCAGTCGAGCTAGAAGAGGATACAGAAGGCGACATGGATCAATATCAGTTGTTGTGCCGCCTCACTCTGGGAGACTGGAAGAAGAAAAGAAAGCGGGTCGCAACTTCCCATGACGAGCTGCATCGCCCGTCCTCGAGCCACGAGGTTCACTCCCTACTCGATCACGTGGTGATCGATATAGAGGATCAAGGGGAACCGACTCCCACAGTGGAGCTGGGGACGATAGTGGTCAACTCTCCTTCCCGCAAAAGGGTCCATGGGGCAGACTCGTCTGGATGCCATATAGATCAGCGACCTCCCTCCTTGCCTGCTATGACCATTGACATGGAGACGGAAATGGGGTCGATGAGGTTCAGCGTCCCCCATCGTTCGTCCGCGGGCTTGGATGAGTTTCTTGTGGAGACGACGGTCGTACTCCACTCTGCCGACCAAGCTTGTCTGGATGCCAGCTCTGACCGCGACCTATCTGATATGGTCCTCTTGAAGTTCGGCCGGGTATGCGCCTTGAGAGTCCTCCCTTTCCACTCACTATGTTTGTCTTATGCCTCCAAGCTTTCAACCTTTGATGCAGGCCTCGCTTGGAGTGTGGGAGCTCGCCCGTCGAGCGACTGTCCATCAGTCCTCCCTGGACGAGGTGAGGAAGGTGTCTGCGACCGAGAAGAAAAAACATTAGGACAAGGTCGATCGTCTCGCCAAGGAGCTGGTGAAGGAAGGACATCTGAACTCTAACCTTCAATTGTTGAAGTTGTGCCCTGATGGCCAACTGTTTATCGTTATTCTATCATGTGTTTACACATCTCATGCTAATGTAAACAAATATTATATTCCTAGATTTATATTTAAAGATGTTTATCAGATAGTGTTATTCTGCTGATAAGACTAACATCTTGAAATAAATATTTATCTGAATGTCCATAGTCGAGTATTAACGAGAGTAGGATATCGTTAATGCATGTGAGACTAGTGTGTGTTAGATGTTTGACTTAGTCTCATAGTCAATGAAGTGTGTTCGCATCCGCGCACGGGCAGATATTATCTAGAGATAATAGGATGCCGGACTCACCCATGCTAAAGATGTTGCTTGAACTTTTAGTTCATGCTCTAAGAATCTTTAGCGCAACCACGGGTGTAACTATCCTTCGACTTGAAGTATTATGTTTTCTGCATATGTGAACCCGCATGCTTTGATGCATTGTCCTAAGCCATATGAAATAAAGATGGTATACATGCTTTGTTTTGGGTATGCCGCAGCGCGTATTCAGAAACGTAGATTAAGTATATAGGATTTGTCACTACTCTTTTTAAAAAGATTAATTTCTTATGGGGCCCACTGATAAGTTATGACTGAGGATATTGCATGGTCATGCTGAGATATTTTTTATGACGTCTGTTCCTATCAGTCAGACTTGATAAATCAGTGAATGACTTAATGGATACAAGCTGGATTTTATTAATCCCTTGCATCAAGTCTAGACATTGAGACAAAGGGATATAGTTACACAGAGTCTGAGTCGTGGAAAGGTTGTGACGGTGCAAACGTCTTAACTTATAATCTGGGGGCAATAATGTGTTCTAGATACCACTTATTGCTTATAGTATTGGTGCAGAGCTAATACTGTTGCCAGTTTTATAAATGCCTATATGGGTCACACACTTTAGACAATTTAAGGAGTAAGATTAAACAATGGGATAATAAGTAATTTGTATATTTGTAAAAAAAATAGTAAAATAAAATATTTTGGAATATAATACTCCGTATTATATATATATATATATATATATATATATATATATATATATATATATATATATATATTATATGTTGAATATTTTATTTTGGTTTGTCATTTTAATTATGGAAATAATTATTTTGACATAAACTATTTAAAGTATATTTGTATACTTGTTTAAAAATTATATGGGTATTTTTATTTGATTTAAAATTAATTTTATATTAATTTTTGGTGTCAAATAAAATGCAATTTGAACATTTAAGTGGAGAAGAATTTCAAGACACTTTTTTCAAATCAATTGTTCAGCCATGATATCTTTTAAAGGAACAAAATTTTCTTGATTGATTATTGAGTGGAGCTAACTATTTTGTCATTTTGTTAATGACAAAGTCAAATTTATAACCACTTTTTATCCTTAAATATACTCCACACCATTCCATTTATTTTGGTAGTGTTTTATTCGGCCATAGCATTTCAAGAGAGAGAAATATTATTTTGGTTCCATTTATATCATTTTGTGTATAGAAAATATCTATAATATTTTCTAAATATTATTCGAAATATTTTATATAGAAATATACAAGATTATTATTATCCCAATTTTAATCTTTATATTTTATACTACTATAATCTTTACTAGCATAAAGATTGTGATAGACTCCGGCATTGTTCGTGTGTCAAAGTTGGAGACCGGACGCTTGAACGTTTACGTTTGCACTTTCAACACTCTTCCTATGACTTCTTCGTTTTTACCGCTTACGGAGAAAAGTATAAATTTCTTACTACTATAAGTTTTAGTACGTGATTCTGGGCAAGATAATCATGTTAGGATGTTAAAATTTTTATATTCCGCTGCCTATCCTTGCATGGTTACCTTTAATCAATGTCATGTTAGGTAGCTCGAGAGGGAAAATCGCGACCTCTAGCGAGTGAAGAGCCACTCCCCTAGAGGATGAGAAGGTTTCACTGTCTTCTGAAGTGGCGTCAGTTTCTGCCCGGGTGGCTGAGCTAGAGGCCGAGAAGGGCGACCTGGTTTGTCGTCTTGAGGAGGCAGTCGAGACCTTCAAGGCTTCTCCGGAATACCGTGCGACCGCCATGGAGCAGATGGACAAGCTGGTTGCCTCGTGGACACAAACCCGTCCTGCGGAAGATTGGCTGGTTAAGAAGATGGAGGTTTCCTTCTGGTTGGGGCTCTTCCAGGCCCAAAAATTTGTTCGTCGCAAGCTAACTCTACTCCCCAAGGGGACTTCTCTTCTCGACTTTGACCTCCCCCCTTCTTGCGACAACATCCGGGATTTTGACCCTGCGCCCTACAAGGATGAATAAAGCAGACTCGTGCGACTCTGAGGGTGAGAGCGAGGAAGTTGGCTGGAGCGACCAAGGTAACCAGGTCGGCCAAAAGGAGGGGGCTATATATCCAGACGACGGACACAGCTGATGGAGACCCCAATGCTAGCTTCTGAACGACCAACCTCGTCTATTTCCCTTCTGAACTTGTAAAAACTCCTATGTATTAAGGTTTTGCCACTAATTGGATTTGTATCACTCAACAACTGTTTGGTTTAATTTTGAATCTTCTCCCATGTTGTGTGTTGATTTATTCCATCCGTTTTGCGTTTCTCCCAACTTCTAGGCCCAATCTCCCAATTAAGCCCGCTTGCGCAGCTGCCCTTATCTGTCAATCGGCTATGTATGCCGCCCAACTGGCCAATCACATCGATCTGAATGAACAATTGGGCCGGCCCTTTACCTAGGTTACTTTACCGATCCAGCTGCCCCCAACATTGACCATCGAGACCCTTCGATTTCTTCACCCTACAACCTATATAACCTGCCTTACACCGCTCACCAGTCCATGCTGCTAAGCGTGTCATAGCACCTACAAAAAATTAGTTTGTAACTCTAGCGTAGCATTACTGTTAAATATATCAACTATTTAATATATTTAATATTATATATTATAATTATGGTTGTTACCTATTATAGTTAGAGTTATTATTATATAATATTACCTTATATAATTAGTCATTAATGTGGAAGATTCTAGAATATATTCCTCCACCTATAAATACATACTTTGTATTCCTCTTCTATTTATTCATGAAATAAAGCATTATTTGTTATTTTACATGGTATCAGAGCCTTTGCTCTTGCTAACATGAGGCACAGGCTCACTACTTTGCCTTTGAAAGGGGTGTCCTTGGTGTCATCGGTGTTCTAGGGACTATCAAGATGCCTTATCCCTCTAGAGCCTCTGATTTGGCTCATTGATCAGAAATCCTTCTCCTCTAATCACCCTTCAATCCCTATTTTTTTTCGATCTCTCACAACTCATATCATCACCTCAACCTGCTTCGTGGGTAGATCTTCGGTCAACATGCATCTTCGACAGTGATTCCTTGTGTTTCTTCTCTAACACAGTCGCGCACGACTCCAGTGCGTGTCAACCTTCTCCCTCTCTCGACGTCAGCAGCATGAGTCTGTTCGCAGCGGCTTTTCTCCTCTCCTCATCAACGCCTTCACATCTCTTTCCTGGCAATCTTTTTTCTTCTCTTCTAGGCCGGATGCATTCAGTCTACTCTCGCCGAAGATATGCCTGTAGCTTCTGATTACAATTCTGGTCACGATTCAAGTAAAGTTGGCGTTCAATCTTCACCGTTCAGGACGTTGGGAGCATGTTAAATATATCAATTATTTAATATATTTAATATTATATATTATAATTATGGTTGTTACCTATTATAGCTAGAGTTATTATTATATAATATTACCTTATATAATTAGTCATTAATGTGGAGGATTCTAGAATATATTCATCCACCTATAAATACATACTTTGTATTCCTCTTCTATTCATTCATGAAATAAAGCATTATTTGTTATTTTACATGGTATCAGAGCCACCGTTCTTGATGACCTAAATTTCTACGCTTTCGCCTCTGGCGGGCGGCACTGCCATTAACCGCCGCCCGCCGGATCACTGTTTTCCTCTAACCCAAATTCTTCCATTATACAAAAAAAATCTCTATTATAGTCACCGGCGTCTCTAACATCATCTTCTTCTCCTAATCGCCGCTGCTCTGACCGGGGGCCCCTACTCCACCAAACTACCGGCCTCTCCTGGCGCTAAGATCGCACCTGTTCACTCGAGAGTAACATGAGGCACAGGTTCACTACTTTGCCTTTGAAAGGGGTGTCCTTGGTGTCATCGGTCTTCTAGGGACTATCAAGATGCCTTATCCCTCTAGAGTCTTTGATTTGGCTCATTGATCAGAAATCCTTCTCCTCCAATCACCCTTCAATCCCTATTTTTTTCGATCTCTCACAACTCATATCATCACCTCAACCTGCTTCGTGCGTAGATCTTCAGCCAACATGCATCTCCGGCAGTACCTCATTTCTTGTGTTTCTTCTCTAACACATTCGCGCACGACTCCAGCGCGCGTCAACCTTCTCCCTCTTTCGATGTCAGCAGCATGAGTCTGTTCGCAGCGGCTTTTCTCCTCTCCTCATCAGCGCCTTAACATCTCTTTCCTGGCAATCTTTCTTCTTCTCTTCTAGGCTGGATGCATTCAGTCTACTCTAGCCGAAGATATGCCTGTAGCTTCTGATTACAATTCTGGTCACGATTCAAGTAAAGTTGATGTTCAATCTTCACCGTTCAAGACGTTGGAAGCATGTTAAATATATCAATTATTTAATATATTTAATATTATATATTATAATTATGGTTGTTACCTATTATAGTTAGAGTTATTATTATATAATATTACCTTATATAATTAGTCATTAATTTGGAAGATTCTAGAATATATTCCTCCACCTATAAATACATACTTTGTATTCCTCTTCTATTTATTCATGAAATAAAGCATTATTTGTTATTTTACAATTACTCTTAAAAAAATTTAAACTTTGCTTATAATTTCAGGTGGTTTAAAAAAAAGAAACCTGCAGGTCTTGACTTGCAGTTTAAGGAGTTGGTATATGTTACATCCGAATGTACCTAGAAAGAGGTACATCTCGGTAGTACTCATTCTGAAATAAAGTAGTACTCATTTTCGTACAAATATAAACATTCATTTCGAAATACGTAGTACTCATTCTGGCAAAGGTAGTACTCACTTTAAAATAAAGAAGTACTCATTTTTACACATTTGTCTAATATAATTATAATAAATAGCGTAATGTTCATTTTTAAAAAAACAATACTCATTCTCAAATAAGGAAATGTTCATTCTAAAATAAAGATTGTTCAATTTTTTCACAATTAAAAAGTTTAGTACCATCATCAACTTCTTCCTCTATTCGATTCGTTATACTCATTTTTTACTCCCTGAGCATAGAGAATTTAAAACTCAGATTTATTCATGTTTGTATTGAATAAGAATATGAATTTTCATAAGTTCTGGTACTCTTTCTCAAATCTGCTGGTACTCATTGTCATATTGTCATATATAATAGTTCTATATGTTATGGGCATTGTATAAAAAAGTTTGACAGCTGATCACTGAAACTGGAGGGAAAGAAAAATAAACTCCAAATCTCTCCGATGACATCTTCTCTATCGCCACCGGAGGTTCCCAATGAGCTTTACGTAATCAACCGCGAGAAGCTCATCAAATCTCTGCGAGGCCATCTATCGTCTTCCTCGCGTCCCCATCAAGGCTTCGTCTTCTTGCAGGTAAAATGGAATTCCTCTCTTTCTGCGCCAATCCTTTTCGCTGCTCTTTCCAATTTAACCATTTTTTATCGATTTATTTGTTGAAATATACGGTTATTGTTTAGGGGGGTGAGGAGCAAAGTCGATACTGCACTGATCATGATGATCTGTTCAGGTACTTACTTGATCATTATCATATCCTCAATGTCCAAACGATCGATATGAATATTAGCTAGATTGCTTCACTTCACTTCTTATGGTTTTCTTTTTGTTCAAGTGCGGGTATTGTTGTTTTAGCTTCTAGTAAGAGCATCTCCAACCATGCTTGTTATATGCATTTGCTTTTTTTTTACATTATAGCAAGTGAATAGTGATATAGCAAACACTTTTTTGTTTCATTCTCCAACCATAATTTGCTATTTTATTTTTTAAAGTATTGGCTTGCTAAAGTTTGAGGGGCTTGTTATATTTAGCAAGCTAAAGTCATTTTTTGGCAAACTTGCGAAAATAAAGCATACCCTTTGAAGAAGAGCAAAAGGGTTTAGCTAGCTATATTATAACTTTTATCAAGCTAGAATGCTATGGTTGGAGATGCTTAAGTAATGAACTAAATCACAATTGCACATTAAACTCCCTTGCTTCTTACTTTCTAAAATAATGTTTTGGAAAGCGAATGCGGAAATGCGTCAAAGGGTAAAATACTTTCAGGGGTAAGGTTGTGTAAATCTCGACCCTAAAACCCCAACGGAGTTGGTATTATACTGGGTTTTTGTTGGTGGTGGTGCGGTTGTTACGAGTTTTGGTACTCAAAATTTTTGAAATGGTTCATATTATGAATATGAATCAGAAGCAAGCACATCACATGTATTCTTCTATATTTGTAATTAATGAACTAAATCAGGATAGCACCTAAAACTCCCAATAAAGTTGGTATTATAAATTTTAATGGGTTTTTGTTGGTTGTGGTGCTGTTGTTATGGTACTCCATATTTGTTAATTGGTTCATATTATGAATATGAATCAGAAGCAAGCACATGACATGTATTCTTTTATTTTTGTAAATTAATGCTGTAAATGTTTTTGTTACACCTCCCTCCTGATTTGATGTTTATCTTTTGGGGTTGGTGAGACCGTTAGAGTTCATTATACAGGCCTTCTTTGTTCATTTCAGTTAGTAATTATGTTTTCTGTGTCATGTATCAGGTAAATATTTGATTCGATTGATGTGAGGTTTGACTTCTATTTTACAGCTATAGTATACTAGCGCAACTTGATGGATACTAATTGGTGGCTTACTTGCAGACAGGAAAGCTATTTTGCCTACCTGTTTGGGGTAAAAGAGCCTGGATTCTATGGAGCTATTGTAAGCTTAACATATCTGAAAAGTTTTGTATTATTTGGATTCTTAATATTCAATTATATATCCATTTAAGTATAGTTTCCAAACATGGATTCACATTGTCACCCCCAAACTTTGATGACCTGCCACACCCCCACACCACATTTTATCCAGCACCATAACCACAATTTCCTTCATTAAAATCGCATCCATTGCGTCATGGTTGTATACAGTTGCAGCCCACCTATGTACCTCCATAGCCTATTTACTATACCATGCACATTACACATAGTCACTTAGATATCTTCTCACCAGTATTGTTTTTACCACCATTGGTTACTTTACCTCACCAATACACCAATATGTTCATCCTTACCCCTCATCCATCTTGCCCACAATGCCTATCCCCACCACTACTCAATGGGTTATCACTTATTTTTTTATTTGTATATATAGATACATATCTATATATCATGCATTTAGACTTAAAATATACATCATATTTTGTATCTTCCAAAATATGGAGTAATTGTATTTGAGAGGATGATCATATTTTTTTAGTTTTCCAATAGATAATGAAAACTTGGGAATTTTAAAAAATGGTCACATTCTCTGTTGAGTGATGTGCTCACACCTGTCATCACCCTACACAAGTTTAGGACCTTCAGTATTTTCTTCCCAAATAAAGATTGCATATACAGATTTTGGACACACACACATAAGGGGTTGGGGTTGGGGTGGGGATAACAAAGTAGCTATATTCTTTAAGGATGACAAGGTCTTATAAACAACGGTGATTCATTCACCATGCATAAGTTTCTTCAAGCTTTTGGATTCTTAGAACTTAGGATTCAACCTTGATACGCTTTCTTTTCATAAGGATGTAGCAACTGGGGATTCAATGCTCTTTGCTCCTAGATTACCAGATTCCTATGCAGTTTGGTTGGGAAAAATAAAACCTCTATCCTACTTCAAGGTAATTCCCCTCTTAAAGCATTGTGTTTATTATTGCCTTTTAACCAATTAACTTATTTGTTACTTGTTCCAGGAAAAATATAGGGTCAATAAGGTCTTTTATACCGATGAAATTGTACATGTGTTGCTTGATCTCTATAAAGAAAAGGGAAATCCCTTATTGTTTCTTCTGCATGGACTGAACACCGACAGCAATAAATTGTCCAAACCAGCAGATTTTCAGGTCTCAATCTGTCTTTTCTTTCTGGCTTAATGTTTCAGTGCTTTGCAACACCTTGTACTCCCTCCGTCCCATAATTGTATTCTTGTTTCTACTTGGCTCGCTTTTTAATAAAGTGAAAATCACGTGGTTGAAATTTGTTTATAGGAGAAATAACCAATTGTAATTACATAATCATTTTCTGGAAAGGGAAGTGGAACAAAATTTTTGACAGTCCAAACAGGAGAGAAAGAACAAAATTATGCGATAGATGGAATAATATTTTTTCCATCATGGAGACATTGACATCGAATTTTTGCGATTATGATACTTAAAGGGGTAATGAAAAGTATTACGGTAACTCAAATAGAATAAGAGATGAATCCAATTACCATTGCAGGATTGAATAATACTGTGAAAATAAAATAATGACAAATTATATTTGATATTTTTAAATATATCAATGGAATTGATATTTGATACATTATGTGAAGTAAAAAATACTACTCGTACAAACAAGTAAATTTTTAGAGATGTAAGTAGATTAAAAAATGATAATGCCTTAAAGTTCACTAAAACAAACCACTGTGGTATTCTAGCAAAAGTTTTTATTAGATTTAGTTTTATCGGCACTGTTTTAATGACATTGAACCCAATGTCATAGCATGACCCAAGCGTCCTACGGTGCTCTGTTCGGAAAATTGATGGTTCCTACCCCCTAACGCACTGCACCCCCAAACCAACCCCCTCCCTTTCGCCGATTGGCTAAGTAACTACTGTAGCCAATTAGCAAAGGGGAGGGGGTGGGGCAGGTGGGTTTGGGGGGGGGGTTAGGAACTATCAGTTTTTCGAACGGAGCACCGTAAGAGGCTCGGGTCATGCTATGAACCGTGCCGTAGTTTTATATCTATGTCGTCGTCATAATCACCATCATTCTTCACGACCTCCACCTTAATGGCAACTATGTTGGGGTTGGTGGCATGGCTCTATAGTGTAAAACTGTAAATTAATTATCTCAAATTAGCTAACACTATAACATAATGCAAAATAAAACATAGTGACTAAGTTTTACACTTGCTGGCCCTTACGTCACAATCTATATCAAACCTGCATCTAATGGTTATGACTAGTAGACTAAATTAAAAGGTCACCAATGCGATAAACACTTTTAGACCTGTAGAATGGAGTCTCCATAAGATAATGTATGTGCTGTGTTTATTTGTATCTTGATAACAGTTAAACTATCCAGAATACATAATATTGTTGGGTTTTGTGGAGGCTAGATACGTTTGTGCCCGACTTGGATCGGCCCGTCTTATTTTTAGCCCGTTTGTCTCTTGTTTCTTGGGGAACAAGTTTTGTAACCCTAGGTTTTTCTCCTATATATTAGCCCTTGTACTTGTAATTCCGGTGAAACACGACAAGTGAAATAGAAGTCCTCCTGTTGCAGCCGTGGATTAGGGAAACCAAACCACGTTAAATTCTTGTGTGTCATCCGTGTTCCGTTTCTCTCGTTTCTCGCAGATTATTTGTGTCTGTTGTGTGTTTAGTTCCCAACAAGTGGTATCGGAGCAAAGGTTGTTCAACACGAACACAAATTGCGAGTTGTCAAGGGTTTTGCAGATTTGAAGGCGTGGAAGAATCGTGCGCTGAAGGAAAAATAGGCCGCTGCTCCGCTGAAGAGATCTATAGCAGCAGCCGCTGCTGGGAAAAGATCTGGTTGTCCAGCGTGAGTGCCGCCGCCGTCTAGATCTGTTTTCGCCGCTACTCCTGGTGAAGTCCGCCGCCGCCGCGTTGAGGAGTTCGTCGCCGTCCTCTGATTGGCGCCGCTGGTTCGAGGAGATCGCAGCTGCTGTCCAGATCGTGCAAAGAACCATCGCCATGCCCGGAGTAGAGGTGGAAGATCCAACTCGGGAGCAGGAGTCGCCTGATTGCTCGCCGACTCGCTGCTGCCCTTGTTTTAGTGCAGCCACGTCGTTCCGCCACTGCCGTACAGTGCCGCCGCGCAGACGCTCCAGGACCGCTGCCACCTTCTCCTACTTGCCCAATTGAAGCCGCCGATCGAAGGGGCTGTGTTTGCTTGGCAGGTGCGAAGGAAAAGAGGTCAGGCGCAGTGGAGTTGGGCCGTATTCAGCAGCCAAAGAATTGAAGAAAAAAGCAGTGGGCCAATTTGTTTTTAAATTGGTCAGCTATTTTCTTTTTGGTGTATTTGGCTTGTTTTGGTTTGGGATAATTAATTGGAGTGGTGGACCTGATTTTCTGACGAAAAAAAATACCAAGATCTGAAATTAGTTGTACCGGGTATCTCGTCAAGTCGTTTGAGATGACAGAAGACGGGAAGTTCCGAATTGAGAAGTTCGATGGTACAGATTTCAGTTGGTGGAGAATGCAAATTGAAGATTTGCTGGTTCAGAAAGATTTGGACGTGGTTTTGGGTGACAAGCAAGAAAAAATGTCGGATGCAGATTGGGCAGGTTTGGATCGGAAAGCAATGTCCGTGATCTGTCTCTCATTGACTAAGAATGTTGCGTTCAACATTCTGAAGGAGAAGACAACGAAGGGAATTATGGACGCACTGTTTAGCATGTACGAGAAGCCATCTGCAACGAAGAAAGTTTTTCTGATCAGAGAGCTGGTGAATGCAAGAATGAAAGAAGGCACTTCTGTTACCGAGCATATCAATAAGCTAAATTCGATCTTAACCAGACTTGCGTCAGTGGGCATTAAGTTCGATGATGAAGTTCAAGCTTTGCTACTGCTATCGTCTTTACCTGATAGTTGGTCCGGAATGGTTACAGTGGTTACCGGTTCAGTGGGACCCGATGGATTCACCTTTGATCAGATTCGAGATCTCGTTCTTGGTGAGGATGTCAGAAGAAAGAGTTCTGGGGAGTCATCTGGTGAATTGCTTCATGTTAGTAGAGGCAGAAGAAATAGCAGAGGTAGTGGGAGCAGGAACAGACGAAGGAGTCAGTCGAAGACTCGGGATAGCTCAGGCGTAACGTGCTGGAAGTGCAAGGAGGTGGGGCATTTTAGGAATCAGTGTCCGAATGATAATAAAGTGAACATTGCTAAAGACTCTGCGAGTGGCGAGGAGGTCAATCTGACTTGCTGTGAGGAAAGCAATGTGGATTCCTGGGTCATGGATTCTGGTGCTTCATTTCATGCTACCCACAACGGTGAAGCATTACAGAATCTGGTTATTGGAGACTATGGAAAGGTACGACTAGCGGACGACAGAGCTCTTGAGGTGACGGGCATGGGTGACATGATGTTGAAGACCTCAGTCGGTTTCTGGACTTTGAAGGATGTCAGAGTGGTTCTAGCCTTGAAGAAAAGTTTGATTTCTGTCAGGCAGTTAGACGAACATGGACACGAGGTGAAGTTCAGAGATGAGCAGTGGAAGGTCGTGAAGGGAAATCTTGTCATGGCCTGTGGAAAGAAGAGAGGATCGCTGTATATGGTCGAGTTACCATCTGAGGGAGTGACCGTTCCAGTTCAGAAGAGAAACAAAGTCCGGTTCACAGAGTCTCGTGGGCAGAATAAGGTTGTCTGTGCAAGAGAGAAACCTAGAGCCACTGGTCAGACTCAGGATGAACGAGCATGGAAAGGTTCAAGGGGGCCAGTCAGAGGTATTTGTGGCAGTGGGAGCTCAAGAGGCGCTTCAGCCAAGTTGCCTAGAAGACAGTGGGTCAGGAGAACCAGTATTCCAGCTGTTGGAACATCTCCAGAAAATTTCTTGCTGAGTACGGAGAGTGTTTGTTCTCAGGATATTCCAGGATCCGGTAGTGTGCATGGGCAGATTTAGCCGTGACTGATGGGTTGGAGCTTAGGAGAGCTTCAACGGGCCTTTCAGTTGTCTGATGAAAGGGCCGCTGCAACAGGAGCGTTGTGGAAGATTACTCGATGTACAGGCAATCGTGGTGGATGGCAGTTGATGATTATCAAGCCTCCAAGTGGGAGAATGTTGGGTTTTGTGGAGGCTAGATACGTTTGGGCCCGATTTGGATCGGCCTGTCTTATTTTTAGCCCGTTTGTCTCTTGTTTCTTGGGGAACAAGTTTCGTAATCCTAGGTTTTTCTCCTATATATTAGCCCTTGTACTTGTAATTCCGGTGAGACACGACAAGTGAAATAGAAATCCTCCTGTTGCAGCCGTGGATTAGGGAAACCGAACCACGTTAAATTCTTGTGTGTCGTCCGTGTTCCGTTTCTCTCGTTTCTCGCAGATTATTTGTGTGTGTTGTGTGTTTAATTCCCAACAAGTATAAGGGGCTCACCACGGGCCTAGCAACTAATAATTTAGCTCATAGAAAGAAGATCTATGATTAACAATGAAATGCCAATGAAATAGAAAGAATAAAGATAAAACTGAGAACAAGATGTTGACAGGTTTGCTGCGTTCTTCTCTTTGTCCTTTCCTTCCTTTTATCCCTTGGATGAAACTCCATGTTTTTGCCAACGTGGTAGAAAATTCTCTACTGGTCCTTCCCTTGAGTTTTCCACTTTTAAACTCACTCAGTAATGCCTTAATAACCCCACACTTATTATAATTATCATGTCATCAAAGCATTCCGTCCATTCCCTCACTGTTAGTGTTTTTCTTTGAGTAACATTCTCAGTAATTGTGAATTTGTCATTAAAGGAAAAAAAACTCTGCTCCTCTTTTATGTTTGCTGTGTACTCTTCTTTTCATCCCATAATGGATTCTCGTCAAGACAAAAACTCTGCTCCTTTTGTATGTGCTGTTTATTTATATCTTTATAACAGTTAAACTATCCAGAATACATAATATGGGGGAGGGGTTCACCACTAGCCTAGCAACTAATAATTTAGTTCATGCTCATATCAAGAAGATCTTAGATTAACAATGAAATACCAATGAAATAGAAAGAATAAAGAAGATAAAACTGAGAACAAGATATTGACAGGTTTGCTGCATTCTTCTCTTTGTCCTTTCCTTCCTTTTATACCTGGGATGAAACTCCATTTTTTGCCAACGTGGTAGAAAATTCTCTACCGGTGCTTCCCTTGGGGTTTCCACTTTTGAACTCACTCAGTAATGCTTTAATTAACCCCACACTGATATAATTATCATGTCATCAAAGCATTCGGCCATTCCCTCACTATTTGTGTTTTTCTTTGAGTAACCTTCTCAGTAATTGTGAATTTGTCATTAAAGGACTGTTGTACTCTTTTCCTCCCATAATGGATTCTTATCAAGTAGAACTATGCAGTTGTCACTGACAGTCGCTCATTAATAGACACTTGAAAATATTGGACCCAAGTACAAAAGAAGGATTGGACAACGGCACAATAACTAAAGAGCCTATATGGAGTCAAGAAATCTCTAGAATGAGTTGATTAACCAAATATTTTAAGAATCCTGATCTGATTCAACATTTTGAATTTATATGTTCTTCAAAAATTAAAGGCATTCTAAAATACAAAAAATAAGAGGTGTTGGAAACTGCATATGATAATGAGATAGTGCATAACACATTGCATCAAAATCAGCTCAGAGTATGCCACTATCCAGAAAATGCTCCTGTAAGTTCACTTTTCTCTCTCCCCACCCCCATTTGTTGCTTTCTGTCACTCATTGCCATCATTATGCTAGAACAATTACTGTTTTTAACAAGAGATGGCAGCAGTATACAATTAGATGCTGACATTGGATAATGGATATTGAGTTCTGTTAGTGAGTTTGACCATATTGTGATAGTAGTATAAAGGAATGTGTTTGATCAATACTGTAGCAGCATCCTTCCATGAAAATTGTACTCCATCCGTCTTATAGATATTTTACTTCTCTCCTATTTGATGTGTCCAAAAATTCTGTTCCACATTCCTTGAAAAAATGTGTGCTTGAAATTTTTTCTCCTCTAAAAAAATTTCAACCACACAATGTTCACTTTATTAAATAGCGAGCCAAGTCAAAACAGGAACATAATTACGGGAGAGTCCGGAGAGAACAAGTATATGATTTTGTGCACATGAATTGTCGGTGGATTGTTTTAGTTGTCTATAGAAATGTGTTCAAATAGTTCACTGAGCTGATTGTGTTGATGGTCCATAAAATTGATTCATTTTTTGGTTTTTTTACATGTTCAGGGTATTGACAGATTTAAGATAGATATGAACACATTACATCCTATTTTAGCCGAATGTCGTGTTTTAAAGTCAGATTTAGAGCTTGCTCTCATCCAGTTTGCCAATGATATAAGCTCTGAAGCTCATATTGAGGTCAATCTTTCCCTACTGTAGAACTATGTGAAACAGTTTCCCTGATTACAGCTATGGTGATTTTTAGCTGCTATATTTTCTTAATGGAGTTTCATAATTTTAATAGTGTTTACATTTGCTTACAGGTTATGAGGAATATAAAAGTGGGTATGAAAGAGTATCAATTAGAGAGCATGTTTCTTCATCATACATACTTTTTTGGTGGTTGCAGACATTGTTCATATACATGTATTTGTGCTACCGGTGAAAATAGGTGAGTTTGACTCTTTCCACTAGAATGTTGTACTATCACATTGAGATAGTGAATGTGAAAAGTAAATTTGATGTCTATTGAAATATATGTATTCAATTATTCAATGCATATTGCAGTTCTGTTCTCCATTATGGGCATGCAGCAGCTCCAAATGACAAGGTGTGCTGATTGCTTTGCTCCTTTCTAGCAAATGCCCTAGAAACGACATAAGTTTATTTGATTAAATTGATTTGAATCGTTTGTTTATGTTTGTTTTTAGCAGTTTGAGAATGTGTTGTTTGTTTTTAACTATTTGAATCTAAATTTGTAGTGATATTAATTTTTAATCCAAGTGTTAATATAATTTAGTGTACATTAGTTAGAAGTGTTGGAAACCTCTCTACTTTCTAGTATAGGTAAGATCTACGTACACACCCAAATGGTGGAGAGAGAGAGAGAGTAAAACTTATCAAAGTAGATGTAAATGAGAGGCTACATGGGTGATGGATACCCTAGACTGGGTATCATCAGGCCAACGGAAGAGGACTCAACTTGAAGGCTTTTGGGGGAGACCTTGGCTCATGCCTTGCGGCTTGTCAATCTCTCTGTCCGGTGATCAACCTGATAATTTTGACACTACCTTTTCAATTGTTCTATTTGTACTTTGTAGATACTGCAAGATGGAGATATGGCCCTGCTCGATATGGGAGCTGAGTACCACTTCTATGCTTCAGATATAACTTGTTCTTATCCTGTGAGCACAACGTCATTATTCATGGGGATGAGAACTCTTTTCCTTTTATGCGATGCTTTGGATCATAATTTGTGTTCAACTCCCCATGTTTTGTTATGGGGCAATTCTGTTGCTCTTGCAGGTGAATGGGAAATTCACTCCTGACCAAGCTCTCATATATAATGTGAGTAATCTCTTTATTGAGCATTAGTAGTATCAAATATGCCATAATTACTAGGAGCGTGTGAAGTATCCTCTATCCATGCATTCCAGTTATTTCGGTACTATTTACTTCATTTAGCATATATCTAGCTTCTTAAACATTTGAGAATGCCTCAAAATTTCACTACAAGCATTATGTAAGTTTCAGATGATTGAACATATACATAATATCCTTGAGTGTTCTGTCCACATTCCGTGAGAAACAAATACAGTTTTTTCCATTAACAATTTTTTTGGGTCTCCTGTTCCTTTGAATCTCAATATTTGAGAATGTCTCAAAATTTCAATATACACATTATGTAAGTTTCAGAGGCTGGAACGTACATAATACCCTGAGTGTTCTGTCCACATCCTGTGAGAAACAAATACAGTTCTTTCCATTGACAAATTTGTCTAGGTCCCCTGTTCCTCTGAATCTCAATAACATGGCTTAAATAAGGTATAGTCGTGAGTTGGGAGAGAGTTGTTCTAAGACTTCTAGTACCATATTCTCTATATGCATAGAGATGCACCCACATATGCTTTCTATAGTCTCATGTTTCTAGATAGTGACTTAGGTCTCTCCAGTTTCCATGCTTTCAATCTAACCTTTCCTAGTCCATCTTAGCCAACCACTTCAATCGTACATGGTAACAGCTTCAAAGTTCAAACAGCCAAGCTACCATGGAAAGTGTGAAGAGCCTCCATCTGCTTTGCTAAATTGGGAAGACTCATCTTTCTTCTTTCTATCTGCTTTATATGTTCAGGCTGTCCTTGATGCTCATGATGCTGTTATATCTACTTTGAAACCTGGAATTTGTTGGGTTGACATGCACAAGTAAGATCTTGAAAATAGATGACCAATTTAACATTCACAAACTTCTAATTTCGAGATCTGCTGCGGTTTTAATTTTTAACTTCTTTAGCTTGGCATAACAGAATGTATTTTTCCATTAACCATCATCTACAATTATTTGCGCTTAATTTGCAGGTTAGCAGAAAAAGTAATATTAGAGTCATTGAAGAAAGGGAACCTATTAGAGGGGTAAATTCTTTTCCTTTGACTTGCCAACACTCTACTACTCCAGTCCATATGATTGATAGTATTGTTGAAGAATGTCATTCCTGTCNTAACAACCTTTGATTTCTATTCAACCAATTCAAAGTACAAGCTTTTACAAGTTATGAATGGTCACTTGTACTCCTAAAACTCGTTTTCAAGATTGTTTGGAGTACTTGCCTCTGCAGAAAAATGAATACTTTCTTTTTGGGATGCAAAAACTTCTAGAAATATGACTATGTTTTAAGTTTTAAGGGGTACCCACTCCGTCTCACTATTTTGGACATGAGGAGCGTCACAATATTTTAAGAAAGTTATTTCTGTGCAGTTAATATTGAATTTGTACTGTATGAATTGACTTGAGCCACATTTCCGTACCACATGCTATTTGAAATTTTTTTAGGGACAGACCAAAATGGAAAAGAAAAGACGAAGATGGTGGGCAGAGTAATTATTATACTGCGTTGTGTTTTTTTTCTTTCAGTGATGTTGAGACAATGATGGGTGAGAGATTGGGTGCTGTGTTTATGCCTCATGGTCTGGGCCACTTCCTTGGTATTGATACTCACGACGTTGGGGGTTACTTGAAGGTTACTTGTCGTCTATGCACAACACTGTACCGTTTACACAATTTGCAATTTTACCCAAGGCTGTTTTGCTCTATGTGATTTGTAACATTCTTTTGTGACCGGGAAAAAAATAAATTCAATGGCCATTTCAGGGAGCAGAGAGACCCAAAGAACCAGGATTGAATTCTCTACGTACCAGCAGGGAACTCTCCGAGGGAATGGTGTGTGCTTTGATTTACAAAGACTTGAGATCCTCATTCTTCTATCCTTTTTTTGTAAAGAGTTATTACACAAGTTAGTCTCTTGACTGTATAGTGCCCGTTTGGTAACAGCTTTAGTGTTTAGCTCTTAGCCTTTTGAAAAACATATCCAAAATGCTACTGCTAATTTAAACTGATGTTCCCAAACAAAGCCATACAATTCCTCATTTCGGTCATTGGTTTTCTTTGGGACTCAAATTGGTCATCCAATGTGGAATTTAGATCTAAGGCTTATATTTTAATATAATTATGAAGGGTATTTTTGTCTGCTAAAGCTTGAGGGTTCAAAATACATACTTCTTCAGTTCTTCTGTCCCAAAAGAAGGTTCCACATTACTATTTGCAAGGTTAAACTATATCTTTTTTCCTTACATACTTTAATTGATCATTTGACAGAATAAAATAGTTATGCCACATCTTATGATGTAGAACTTTGTAGTTTTAGTTTTTAAATACATAGATTTTATGCTTTTACATATACATCAACTTTCAAATAAATTCAAGCGAAACTAGTTCAAACTTAACCTTTTTCTGGGATGGATGGAGTAGTTGAGATCTGAACCGAGTCCTAAATTATGTCTAAATTAGTGAATTGATAACATACCCCTTTATTTAGTTTTTTTGTTGCAAAATATGTACGGAATAACCTGGGGCTCCTGTTACATACTTGAGGACTAAATTGTGTCCCAAGAAAACTCAATGACCAAATTGCTAAATGATAATAGTGCTTAGTAAACATAGCTGCTCCTATGCTCTCCTTGTGTTCATGTGTGCATTCCTCACATTCTCAGTTCTCACATTGCTGCTACGGAGTGTATTATATTTGCAGGTGATAACAGTGGAACCTGGATGCTACTTCATTGAGGCATTACTACTCCCTGCAATGGAATCCTCAAAAACATCCAAGTTTTTCAAACACGAAATCAACAGATTCAGAGGATCCGGTGGTGTTAGAATTGAGAGTGATGTGGTAAGTCTTTTTTCTACACTTCTTGAATGTCGACTAGACTATACAGTATTTTTGTGTAGGGTTCGGTTCTATGGCCACTATGTGTGAGTCGCCACGGAAACCCTGGACACCTAACTACCTACGGTGCTCTATTCACAAAATTGATAATTCCTACCCCCTAACTTCCCGGCACCCACTCTCGTTCCCAACCCACCCTCCTACCCACGTCATTGCGGGGTGCAAGTTTAGTTGACTTTGGGGTCAAAATATTTGACCCCAAAGTCAACTAAACTTGCACCCCACAATTGATGTGGGTAGGGGGATGGGTTGGGGTTGGGACTGGGTGAGGGGGTTTACCAGGGGTAAGGGGGGTAGAAATTACCAATTGGGACAGTGTCCTCCGTGGCCACTTAAAGAAAGTGGCCATGGAACCAGAGTGTTTTGTGTAGATGTCAATTTTGGTTCCATAACTTTGGGACATCGGCTACCTTGTTACTTTGGGTCATTGACTTAAAAATTACATTCAATCTCACAAGATGGTTAAGTTTTGTCCTACTTATGTCTGTGTTCTTGCTCCAGAAGACCCTGCACGTTTTTTTGTTGTATGTTTGTGCTCTTATTTTCAATACTTTTACAGCGGATTACCACGAATGGGTGCATAAACATGACCAAGTGCCCTCGAAAGATTGAAGACATTGAAGCTGTGATGGCAGGCGCTCCGTGGACTATCGATTGAGCATGCAACATTACTCGTGTAGAGTTGTCGTTGTTGGTCACAACCAATTGGTTTGGTTGTGTTATTTACTTCATTTAGACCAGTTGCAGGAGGATGGTAACTACTAACTAGTGTATTTTAGTGGCTAATATTTTTTTTAGTTTTTTTTAAAACTTTGAATGGAGTAAAGGTTTGAATTTCTTGTCTTTTTAGTGGTGCCGATGTACAATGTTTTATTCGTTTTATGCCTATAACTAAATAGTTCTACCAAGGACTGGATCAGAGTGAAAATCCTGAGAGATCCATTTTAGATCTACTTGTGCCTCCATAGTACCTATATGCTTTTTACCCACACACCAAGAAACTATTTTATTAGGAAGGAACAAGCTATTCAGAATTTGTCCATAAAGAAAACTGAAATGAGTATTCCAAGTCCTTTCCACAGAAAATGGAAAGCTTGTCTTACAATCGAACCAAAAGCAGTCCGGATTATTCAAGAATTGAAGTCTATTTGCTTTATAAAAAGAATATATTAATGAACTCCTTTGAAATTGATTAACTCTCTAACTCATTATGTGGTCAAAGGTCTCAAAAGACATTTCTCTCTCTATGTTTTTTTTTGTAATGAACGTCTAGTTCATACTCTAATGTTTTCTCATAATATGACACTAATAATTTATAATTGGTGTAACTTTAATTGCTTTGATGTTTCATTCTATCAAAATATAATTAGTGAGAAGTATAACTTTAACACCTTGGTTCCCATGACATTGGGAACCAATGTCATGGAAACCTTGCCCTAACTTTAAAGGCACAAATTGCTTCATCAGTATTAGATGAACTTGCACTTTTCCAATTTTTTTTAAATAGAATATATAGTTCACTATATCTCTTTTATTTAGCTTCATTCTAACCACATATTTTAAATTTTACAATATTTATTTTTAAAAATTCATAAAGTTAAATTATATGGAGTAACGTCCTGTCCTGATAAATTTAAATTGGGATTTGCCACTGATAATATTCCATGTGTGTATTACGTAGCATAGGGTAGCAATACAATTAGTCCTATCATTCTTTAACAAAGATTTACATTTTGACTTCACAAGATTTATAAAAATGTACAAGAGAGTAAATATATTTTGTACTAATAAAATGAGTGATTTTTTCTAATGACTCGTCTATTTTTGTAAGTCATCTTTGTAAGATGTGTTTTTTTTACAAATAGTCCTTCCACCAAAATAATCTGTCATGGTTTGCAAGGTCTTAAAACAAAAACATTTCGGACAGAAACAAATTCAACGTTATAAAAAATTTTGTCACTAACTTCACTAACTCTATATAGGTATTCAACATTAACTTAAAACTTTAAAATTGGTGAGAACACCATTTCCAAAAAGAATATAGGGATTAGGGATGATCAAAAGTAAAAGTTAGGGGCGGGCATGAGTTGAGACAGTTAAGGTTTTATGTCGTAGCACGTTTTTCATCTCTAACAAAGCGAGACATTATAGAAACTGGACCGGAATATCTTGGGTCGAGACAACGGTTTCAGGATTCTTGCAAATCCCTAAGTAAAAGTCACTTATTTTGTACGGAGTAAGTATTAAAAACATATTTTACTTTTAAAATTCCTTTACAAGATAGAAAAATGTAATGAACAATACCGAGTGTATTCTTGTATACTTTGTTTTTTGACTCTTCAGCCACATATTTGTAAACTGTACATGTTAAGAAATATTGTGAATTGAATTAAAGTAAGCGCCCTACGTACAGGTTCACACACGAACTGATATAATGCAATGGGCTTGACCCAAGCAAAAAAACATGATTTCTTTTTGGTAAAGGCCAATCTCGTGCCCTGTTTATATAGGTCTACATGCCTTAGGCAACATTTCGTTCGCCTGATCTGATCTTAACTGATTTTCTAAAATTTTGATCTGATCTGATTGGTCCGATTTAGTCTGATATGATCTGATCTGAATGGATATGATCTGATATGAATTTGATTAAAATTAAAATTTTTATTATAATAATAATAGTAATAATAATAATACTAATAGTAATAATAGTAATAGTAATAATAATAATAACTATAATAATAATAATAGTAATAACAATAATATTAGAAATAATAATAATAGAAATATTAATAATAATAATAATAGTAATAGTAATAGTAATATTAGTAACAATGATAATAATAATAATAGTAATCCTAATAATAATTGTAATAATAATATTAGTAGAAATAATTATAATAACAATAATAATAATAATAGTTATAGTCATAATGATAAAAGTAATAGTAATTGTATTAGTAATAATAATAGAAATAATAACAATAGGAATAATAGTAATAGTAATAATAATAGTAATAATAATAGTAATAATAAATATAATAATAATAATGATGATAATAATAATAATAATAACAATAATAATAATCATTATAATCATAATATTAATAGTAATAGTAATAATAATACTAATAATAGTGGTAATAATAGTAATAATAATAATAATAATAATAATAATAATAATAATAATAATAATAATAATAATAATAATAATCTTGTTTGGATTTGCTCTGATCTGACCTAGTCTGATTATCTGATTTGATTTGATCAGATCTGGTCTGATCTAATCTGATGTGATTGAATGTGATCTGACCTGATTTTAATAAAAGAATAAGTAATAATCGGAAAAAATAAGTTGAACGAAATGCTGCCTTAGTACCCGTTCTCTTAAGGTTATGTGGTATGAGGAGGGAATGAATGGGTACGATTGGATAAAAATAGTATGATGTGGAATGATGAAAAAATATGGAATATGGACTATATGGTGAGGGTGAGGGTGAGGGTGATTGGAGGCGATGAGTGTGAAGATATATTAAATTTTGATTGGTTAGAATTTTAAAAATAAAATAGTAAACAAAGCCCTCCCAGTGATTGCCTTCACCTTGGCGGGGTCAAACCCCCATCATGCCCAGTGAGGGAGCGCGACGGGGCACGACAGCAAGTCACGACCTTCGGGTCGCACCCCATACCACATAGTCTTACTTCCTATTATTTATTACTCCCTTCGTCCCAAATTATAATGCCTGTTTACTATTCACAGGGTCAAACTTCATTCACTTTATTTCTCTATTTTCATTAGCAATTTGATAAAATAAAATATTATTGTCACTACTAGTTTTGTAGATCTTTTGATGTAGTTTTTTAATATGTAATTTTTATTTTTTAATTCTATACCATTTGTCATATAAAATGGTTTGAAAATAGTTTCAGTCAAATATTGTAAACCGAAACAAGCGTTATAAAATAGGATGGAGGTAGTACTATCTCCGTACCAAATTAATAGTCTACATCCAATTCAATACAAAGTTTAAATTAAATAAAATTATATAGGTAGTTAAGAATGACGCACAGGAGAAAATATGAGCCACGGTTTTTCTTCAAAAGTAGGAAGAGCTGGTATTTTTTTATGATGTCTCAAAAAAGAAATGAGGATTATTACTCCGTAATTCATTACAAAAGTACTTATGAAGAAATCACCTAAAACTGGAATAAAACATAACCTTTTTTCTCAAAACAAAAGTAATATATTTTTATCTATAAAATATGATTTTTATAATGTGCCAATATAACATTGTGTATTTGAATTCTACAGAATTATTTAGTATTATATATTGACATTATAAAAATATAAATATTCTATTTTGGTTCTTTCATATATAAACATTATTTTAGTGTTTCTCCGTATTCTTATTGAAATTTGATTGGAAAACTTGAAATCAGAAAAATTCAAATCAAATTAGAAAGATTAAGAACAAACCGAGTACAACCTAGATCATGCTCTTATGCGAGTAAGTACATCTTTTCCATTTCCCGGATAATTTTGAATTTTTCTTTTTTGTTAGTCTTGGCCACGGAGAAGGAAGAAGAAAATATACTCTGTCCATACCAAAACTAATTTCCATTTGCACCCTAAGATGTTTAACTAAAAGTATTTTCAATTTAATTTGTTGGAAAATGTAGAATTTAAAAAATAAGATTTACATATTTAAAAACTATATCAAAAGCTTTACAAAATTAAAAATGACATAATTATATTTTTATCAAATAAGTAGCGAAAATATTCTAACAAAATAGATTAGGTTTGAACGATAAGATAGTTTTAGGATAGGAGAGTAATTACTTGTTGCAATTAGAAGCTTACGCTAAAAGTGGAAAAAGTTTCTTCCTAAGAAAACGCTTTTCCAGCAAAGGAAAATCTCTAAGCAAGAGATCCGACCACCTTTAGTGAACATAAACTAATGAAAAAGAACCCCCCAAAATGAATCCTATACTTATAATCTACATGTCAATGTTAGGAATTATGGTTCAGAAAAAGCTACAACACAACATTGAAATTATCAAGATTTTAATGCAACAAAGAATTGCATTGGGTTAATGATTGGACAAGAAAGAAGTGCGGGTTACACACTTACTTACACACATTCAATATTAATTAGCAAATCACAGAAAGATATAAAGGGTATGCGGGGGGTGGGGGTGGGGGGGTTGTGATTTATAATAGCTTGGGGATGAACGTAAAGCAAGATTTTTTAGAGGATCTAAGTTGACTCACAAACTATCTGTTCTCCACCAGGGCAAAGGGAGGCTGCCGAAGGCAACTCCAAATAGTCCAAGTCGTCCGTAATTCCTACCTGATAGAAAATATACAGAGTATATAATAAAGTTTAATAAAAGTGATCTATTTGGCTTTAAAAAAAGAATGTTATCTATTTGAAAGCTGTTTTGTCAAGCAATGCAGATAATAATTAACATATACAAAGTGGATATCAAAAGGACATATTAAACTTCATTTGTTTCTTACTTTCCATGAAGTTTTTGATAGTTAATGCATCAAGGGTCTAAAAGAAATAACTTTTTCTAGGCTAAGATTGCATACATCAACGGAGTTGGAATTAAGGGTTTTGTTGTGTTTGTTACAGTGGAATCCCACTTGCAACACTGTCCAAATGAGCAAAGATTGATGTCATTGTGATTTCTTTTTTGAAAAAAAAAATATCTTATGGACAAAATATTGATGCCATGTTGGACATGGGATCCAGGGTGCTTACTATGATGGGCTTAACTTCAGAAAAAAACTATTACCTCATTGTATAGGTGATCCAGTTGCTCTTTGGCCTGAGGGAAATTATTGGAACACCATTGTCTCAGTGTGAAGATGTTATCTGCAATGCACAAGCACTGTCAGAAAGGAACAATTGAAAAAAAGCAGGCAATTGGGAATAAAAAAAGAAAAAAAGAACTGCTTTAAACTATTACAGAGCATTTGGTAGCCAAGACAGTACTTCCCGGGAATTTAAAAGATGAGAAAGTGATACATGTTTGGTTATGACTTTGTCTTGGAAAATTTTGGTCAAATTCTATGAAGGTATGGGGGAAAATAAAGCTTATGGTGACTAGAATGTTTCTCCAGACAAGTTACTTTCCTGAAAAATACTTTTTTGGAAATAAAAGGGTGTTCTTGCATCTCAGAAAAGGGAAAAAAAGCTAATGTTATCATCTTATGTCTGGTCATTTACCTTAGAAAACGAAAAGGAAAACAAAACATCATTAGCTTTTAAAAAAGATCAAGTACTTTTAGATTTCAGTCTCTGTGATAGACATAATAAATAAAATAAGTACCAACAATTAACTAAATAAATTGATTGAGTTTTATTCATTCCCACATTTTCTATCCTTCAAAATTTCCTCTACAGTTTCCTTCCTATTTTCTCCCCGTAGTATTTCCAAGTCTCATGCAGAACCTAATTGAATGGAAAGTACCAGCTCCGTCCCATACACTAATTCTTATTTCTCAACTTGTTTTTGTCCCACGAAAAGAGGTATATTACTCACCTTGTTTACAAATATTTTGTAGATATTTAGTACTGTCTAAGAGTTGTACCTTACTAAAATCTAAAAGGTGTACATTCATCAACACCGACTTTTTAATAGGGTTGAGGGAGTATTAAACACCCTCAAAAAGGAAAATGTGATAACTCAATGACAGAAAAAAAAACCTGTCCATCTGTTGGCTGCAGCATGAGCAACTTGAATTGCACTCCCTGTCAAATGAAAAAAAACATCTTAGGATGATCTAAGATCTTTTCCTGTCTAAAAACAAGCATTCTTTTTATAATATGCATTGATTGATTTACTAGTAGTTTTTTGGTTCGTAACTCATTCTTTCAATAGTAGCCGGGTCATTGTCTGCATACTGTGCCAACTCTTCCTGAAAATGTTTATCACCCATGCATACACCTTTTAGTCTAGCCTCGTTTATATATTGCAAGGAAAATTCTTATCATTATCCAAAACATGACCATGTATATCATTGAACCTTCAACTCCTTGTGTTTCTGTTCAGTAGCTTTTAACTCCTCTAGGGCTTCTTCTCGCTCATCCTGATGGAAGCCAAAGAATGAAAGGCCAATAAGTTAGTCTCAAACTCTTATTAGTACAAGTCCTCAGAATGGAAGATTCGTATTAACTTACAGATTCCTCACGTCCTTTCTTCAAATTCTTAGATTGTTCAAGAAGTTCTGAGTGCCTCTTTTTACTGCTTTGGAGATCACTCTCAAGCTTTTTGTACACATTTCTTAGCTGTAAAATAGATATCATGCATTGAATATTCACAATTAAGATAGTACACTGTCAATAAAGTGTAGATAACATGCAGAGTTCGGCCACCTGATTTCCTGCACAGCTAGGAAGGCTCCAAAAATATACCTGAAAATTAATTTACATCCTTTTCCTCAAAACAGTGAGTGCAATTCAACAAAAATTACAAAGCAAGATACATTCAGTTGATAAAACCAATCCACACATGCACAGTTTATACCCCTGAGAAGTAGTGTCTAAGGAAGGTGAGATGTATAGTTGAATACAAACACTAACTCTACTCCATGAATACCCAAGCAAGTAGTAGAAGAGAGCATAAAAATGTGGAGAAAAAAATTGTTTGGGGAATGAAGGATTGGAGAGGCTGTTTCCATGTATACCCAAGCAAGTAGTGGAAGCTAGCACAAAAACTGTGGAGAAAAAAGTTTGGGCATACAAGCCAAGCATTATAAAGAATCTAGCAATGGAAAATACATAAAAGTAACAAGAAAGTAAGTGCTCAGTATGTCCCATAATAGTGGTCTCATTTAAGTTTAGGATGTTTGGCTTGAGTTCTTTTCAATTCAATTATTTAAATGTTCGTGCAAAATTCAAAAATAAAATTTATATAAGGTATTTAAAAACAACATCAAAAGCTCTAAAACAAGATGTGACTTGATTGTTTTATTTGAACATATGGATATGATTAAAGAAAATAGATAAGGAAATAAACTTTGGTTTGACCACGTTAAACCATGTGAACAATGACGTGACCAATATTATGAGATGGATGGAGTACTAGCTAGTACCAACCCATGAACCCCTACATCGCTAATAGAGCCCTCATTCACCAACTCTAAAGTCTAATATGTCACCTCCGGGGGGGGGGGGGNTGAAAAACACATCACAAACGAATTCAGGCACATATAACCCTTAAATAACTAGGAGAGGAAAACTTCATAACAATGGGTCATGAAATGTGCGCATAATGCCCTGAAATATACTCAATATTCATTGCAATAGCAACATGTATAAGGAAAGACACTCACAGAAGTCCCTATCTTGTCTTTTGAAACAAGGTCATCATCCACCAAACTTTGTACCACATCTTTTACAGACTGGCTGATAACACCTTTCTTAGGCCCCAATTTCTCAAGCTCCTTTAGCTGAACAATGCATACAAAATACAAGAAAATAAACTTAATGCAACGAAGTACTGTGAATATTGGTGGAAAATTACTTGATATAGCCTATAGGAACTTTTGAGGGAAAAGAATGAACAAATAAGAGAACTAGATATATTGTTTTAGCGTAGGGGTTCAGTTGTCAGTAACATGGTGAAGGTCATGGTATTTCTCTTAACCCCTAACCTTAAAGAAATTGATTCCAGTGTTGAGAACATCAGGGGAGCCAAAAAAAATTAAATACAGAGTATCTTCTAGTGCCTGCTGCTTTCAGTACACTTGTGTAAACATTAGGTTTTATAAAATTTACTTCGTTATTAATAAGAAATCAAATGATCTTAATTGTTCTGCAAGGATTAAAGAGCATTACAAACAACAACCAAGTTGGATCCCACAACAAGGAGCATTGTTAATACAAAAGAACTAAAACTCTCTACTCTTGAAAATCATAACACGTGGAATAGGATGACTTACAAGGAAGAAGTCTTGTGAATCATAAAAGATTTGCAACATTCTCTCTCGCTTCTCTTCTAATGAAAGACCTCTTTTCTTTGACTGCATAACAGGACAGTAGAAGTCATATGTTTATCCTTGCGCACCAGTAAGGCAATATTCAGACACGAGAGCTGAAGTATAGTCATCTTCACAAATCCACAAACATGCTCACTTAGGTATTCACCATAGCATACGGCTTTGTCAACCATACAGAAATAACATGTGTATGCCTATTTTTTCTTCTTCCTTAATAAGAACAACCAATTTTTGAAGACTATATACTGAAAACCAAAGTTATGCTTTGAATTGACAATGGAGTTGATGAAACCCCCATCCTATGCTCACATAGAACAACTATTTTAAAGCAAGACAAGCTTCATTTCCACTAAGAGCAAGACTTAGGCAAGATAACGCAGCTGCCTAGAGGAAAATTTTAACTTTCTGCCCTATTCAATTTTTAAAATTACAAGAATTCTATCTATACTACTCCGTGTTTTTAATACTGACACGATTATTAAATCATTAATTAATGCAGTTCCGGATGCTGATTTTCCCGCCAAAAGTGACCGAAGAAATAACAACAGAAGCAGAGATAGGTTTACATTTTGCTCCAATTTTCGCCAGTAACAAAAAAATGAACAGTTAACATCAACCACAGATCTATAAATCAGAATTTAAAAAAACTCAAAAATGATCAACACAACTAAAAAAAACTCGGTTCCTGTCTGGATAATCGAAACTAGATAGAAATTAGTTTGTAGATTGTTCGAAAATAAAAGTTGGAATGGGAGCAGATAAAAAGATCAGAGTAAAGACGGGACGGGGGAAAGGAATTTTACCTGCATAGTGAATGATCGATCAATGGACGACTGTGTTTCCCGGGCGTTGCTGCAGAAATGAAATTCTAAACGTAGATTCTTTTGCCCGCCCAACCCAAATCGTGTTAGACAAGCTATATGTAAACCTTCCAAAATGTTCCTCAATCCCGGCTCAATTGTGTTAGAATTAAGTTACTTGTACATTAAAATTTGTACTCCCTAATATTTTTGCATTCTAAAGATAGGTACTACTCTCTCCGTCCTAAAACTTTCTTCTCAGAACACTATTTCAACTTCACGAGAATTTATATTTATTTGTGTTTTTTCATGGCCTATATGATAAAATAAAATATTCTTGTCACCACTTGTTTTGTTGAACTTTTGATGTAGTTTTTAAATATGTATTCCCTCCGTCCCCCTGTATTTGTCTACATTTGACTTTTGGAACTGTTCATCTATGCACTTTGACTCATCAAATTCTCTCAATGTGTAAGCCTAAATATAGTCATGTATGATCTTGTTTGATTTATCTTAACATATAGATTATTAATATATAATTTTTATAATTTTTTAATATACAAATTACAAGATAAAATGGATTAAAGAAGTGCATTGGATGATGTGCAAAAATGAAAGTGGACAAATACAGGGGGACGGAGGGAGTATGTTTTATTTTTATTTCTATATCAATATTTAAATAAAATAGATTGAAAAAATTTGGGATTTTTCTTCATTTTGCGAACCGAGAAGAAAGTTTTAGGACGGAGAGAGTAATATTTTGTGCTAGTGTAATATTAGTATGATGATTTCTATTGATTAAAAATGTTAGTGCATTTTTTTAATTGAACTAATATTTTCTGTTTATGTAAATCATTAAAATATCGGTGCATTTCTTTGGGGTACAATTTGAGGTACACTTTTGGTATACCCCTAAAATGGTTTGTTCTGTTATTGTTAAATATAAAAATTTTCAAATATGCTAGGGGTACACTAAATATTGTACACGATTTGTACCCTCTCCATCTCTACCATACAAATGCGAGGAAAAAAATGAAAAACTTAAAATCAATGGTGTACGAATGGGATAACCATTTGGTATACTCCTAGCATTCCTTTAAAACTTCTGAATTGCTTTAGAGTTTAGGTTTTATATTTAGTTTATATTGTTAGACAATAATAATAGAATTACTTGTGGTAGTGTTTCATTATAAATCAGATTTCTAATGTTGTTTGTGGTAGATATTGTATTTTAGTTAGTCTTCATTCCCTATTTCTATTGTGTTAGGAGTCTCTTCTATATATACTCTATCATGTACTTTATAATTCAAGAAACAATATTATTATTTTAATATTTCAACATGGTATCAAAGTCACCGCTCTTGGTGACCTAAACGAGTTCTTTTCTCCCACCACCCCCGCCGGTAATTTCAGCGACGGCGGCTCCACCCTACTCACCTCTATTTTCTTTTCCTTCTTTTATCCTCAAATCAACTTCTCCATTCAAGTGGAAAAAAAGGAAAAACCCCATGTTGAAATCACACAAAAACACATCAAAAGAGGAACTTCTCTCTTGTCATCTTCAAGGTTCTTCAAAAAAAACCTAACTCCTCAAAAACTCACTCAACTCATCTTAATTATCTTCTCAAAAAATAGGAAAAAAGCGATTGTTGTTTCTCTCCAATTTACCATATCAAAATCTCACACCCAAATCTTTTTTCCATCACCAATTTTTAACCTACTTTTTCTCTCTTTAAAATCACTCATTCTAATCATCAACCTCCCTTCTCTTTTTCTTCTCTTGAACTAATAAAAATCTAAAGTAAATTAGCACAAAAGCAAAGCCAAGAAGGAAGTAGTGAAAGAGGAAAGAATACCTCTACAACTCACTCCTTCAAGAAAGAAATAGGGCATTGTCTGGATCCAAGAAAAAGATAAAGAAGTCAAGGATCTTCAATCAAAAAGGCACGTCCAATAGCCTTCTCTGTTCTTCTTCGATGTCAGCAGCCACAAGTGCGCGTCAACCCGTTCTCTCTTCTTCAAAGACATCAGCAGCTACTAGCGCACGTCCAACTTATCTCTTTTCAAACAATGTCAGCAGTCACCGGCGCACATCAGACTTCTCTCTTTTCTAACGACATCAGCAGCCACTGGTGCACGTTAGACTTCTCTATTCTCCAACAGCATGAGCAGCCATCGGCGCACGTTCGACTTATATCTTTTCTAACGACGTCAGCAGCCATCGGCACACGTTAGACTTCTCTCTCTTTTCAAAGTTTCCAATTTCTATCTAGTCTCCAAGCTTCCTCTTGCTTCTGCGAGACTTCAGCTTGAGAGAGAATGTTAGACAATAATAATAATATTACGTGTGGTAGTATAGGTTGTGGTAGTGTTTCATTATTAGTCAGCTTCCTAATCCTGTTTGTGTATTTTAGTTAGTCTCCATTCTCTATTTTTAGTTGTGCTAGGAGTCTCTTCTATATATACTCTATCATATACTTCACATCTCAAGGAGCAGTACTATACTTCCTATATTTCAACACATACTATGTATTTATCAAATATTATATTGACGATTCTTATTAATTGGGTATTATTTCATGTTTGATCATCCGTTTATTTTATCCGTTCAAGTGATATCGAATTAATTGTAAGACAACGTGTGCAACTCTAGAGGGGGGTGAATAAAGTTGTTCAGAATGTTTATTGTTTTTCGCAGCGTGAGTGTGTAAATAAAAATAAACGAGTGTGCTGCAGAAATAAAAGAGAGAAGGCAAATAACACACCGATGTATACTGGTTTACCACCTCGCGGCTAGTCCAGTTCCCCGAGAGACTCTCTGATCTCGAAGCTACTACTACTTATCAAGCATCAACGGGTGCTTGACAAACCGTTTACAACTCGAGAACTTCAATCCCACAAGCCTCAACACAACCGCTCATATATGTGCCTTCTACAAGACATCACACCCAAAACTTAAGTCACATTAGTCTTGTACAACAAGAAGAGTAACCTTCTTCAATCTCACATCAAAACTCTCACAAGAGTAGAAATGAGAAAATGATTAAGCTCTATGAATGACAAGAACACTCTCTTGAAAGCAAGTAGTTTTCTCTCAAAATATATATATTTGAGGAAGGATTAAATGGAGGTTTATAACCTCAAGAATGAGGTGTTTAAGGAGTGTTTTATTTTGTTTTTAAGAATGATCAAGGAAGGGTGTTCAAATAAGAGTTTGAGGAATAAATCTGTTAGGAAAAGAAATAAAATATTTTTGACAGATTTTAGCTCAGGTGATCGATCCGGGCCTTGTGATCAATCACCATAAATTAAAAAAATTAGGGAGAACTACAAACAATAGTTTGTGTGGTCTATCTTGCCCATGTGATCGATCACCTAAGGAAATTTTGCGCACAAGAAAAATGTCATGTGATCGATCCAAAGCCGGGGATCAATCCACTGACGAATAATGCCCAAACATGAAGGATTCAAACATGCGAGCGAGATGAAGTATGTTTTTGGAGTTAATATTTTGTCTTGGGACACAAAAAATTAGGCAAGAGGCTCTCCATCACTTCAATATTACTCAAAAAGGATTTTTGAATAAATGATAGGATATTTTAAAAGTAGAAATGAGTCCCAAAAATATTTTGTATGTCAAACTATATACACGAAAAATATTTAAAAATATTTTTCTCAACCACAAAAAATTTTACATCTTAAAAAGATATTTTAAGAAATGTTAACACACTTTTTCTAACTAACTCAAAAAAAATATTTTTGAACAGTTAAAAAAGGATTTTTTTCAACTGACTCCAAAATAACTATAATTTTAAATTAACTTTCCTAATACTCCCTCCGTCCCGCTATATTTGTCCACTTTTGACTTTTGGAACTGTTCATCTAAGTATTTTGACTCATCAAATTCTCTCAATGTGTAAGCCTAAATATAGTCATGTGTGATGTTGTTTGATTTGTCTTAACATATAGATTATTAATATATAATTTCTATAATTTTTTAATATACAAATTACAAGATAAAATGGATTAAATAAGTGTATTGGATGGTGTGTAAAAATGAAAGTGGACAAATACTCTGGGACGAAGGGAGTAATAATAATTTTTGAGTGAAGAATATTTTTGTCTTCCTTACAATATTTTTTTAAGACTCAAATAAATTTAAAAGTCCTCGAAAAACTTCTTCTTCACTTCTGTTAGGCAATTAATTAGGCGTTTTGATCTTCATTAAATCATGTTCTCCTTCTTGAACACTTCAAGTGATGATTTGGCACTTAAAGTCTTTGTGTATGTCAATGTAACACTTCATTCTTGACTTGAATAACTTGTATTTGTCAATTATCAAAACCTGTGAGTCAATAGTTAATAGTACAAAAAGGGTTGAATTCATGCATTCCAACATTAATGAGAACCGCAAACATAATGTTTGATAAATATAGACTAAATATCGAAAATCTCTCAATTATAAAAGACTATTTAGAGAATTTATTATTTTAAACCACATTTCATAATATAGAAGTTAATAAATATGAAAAGTGCATGATTGTAGTTTATTTATAAAAAGTCAAAATATAGTTAGATGTTTGTCATAATGTTGCAATGCAAACTTCTATTTTTAGAAAATAAAAGTTTTCTTGGTTCCAGCGGGGCCTGCCCGAGTTCTAGCGAGGCCTGCCCGGGTCCAGCGGGGCGCATTTGAGAATGTGGCACATGGTGGGAGGATTCTACATGAGCTTTATACGAATTCTGCCCTGATCTCTCACTCACGGGGATTCACCCTTGTGACATCCTTTCAAACACTGTGGCCCCTGGGTTCCCAGTCTCCACATTAAGTGGTTGGCTTGTATTTTGGGTCCAAATGGTGCCTTGTTCGTTGTCCAAGGTTGGTTATGATTTCCCCTGTTATTCTAGGCAAACTTCTCCTCCAGACGCCTAGCGATTGCCTCCCTTTCCCTTTCAATCTCTTCGGGGTCACGAAGCTTACATAAAATAGGACCTGATTGCCCTCCGACTATTCGTAGAGTAAGACGAAATTGTACAACCGGTTCACGGGGGATCCCATAAGGATCGCGCAGGGTACGTTCCAGCCGATCCATGACATTTGCCATCATATCAGCAATGTTGTTCAGGGCCACTTCTAGCCCACTGGCCGG